TTTCTTGAGATAAAGGCATTTTTAATAATAGTGGTGATAAAACAACGCGTTGAAGAAAGGAAGTGGGTGGCGTAGGGAGAAATTCGTCGCTCGGTGGTATTCGTCGCTCGGTGGTTGATTACGTTATATCTAGGGAGTACTGAATTATGCCCCCTGCAAATTATCGTCCCTCACGACTGTCAAAATCCCACTCGTTCAACCACCCAACGCTAGCATTCAGGTACGTCGCAAAGCAGAGCCATCCCGCATATGGGACCATCATCCAAAACGCAGTATGATCGATATCCCACCACGTCGCCATCAGTTTCCCGACCGTGCCGCCCAGAACTACAATATCCGCGAGGGCCCAGCCAGGTTTCCGCACACCGAAGAACAACGGCATCCACAGGTAGTTGAGGACCAGCTGCGCCGTGTACAAGGTTTGGGAGGAGGCTACAGCTGTCGCGGGTGTGAGGAGGGTCGCGGAGGTGGTTGCGTGGTGGGCCGCGTAGCCCATCATTCCGTAGAGGATGGTCCACACTGGGCCGAAGACCCAGGCGGGTGGGCGTAGGGGCGGTTGGCGGAGACGGCTGTAGAGTTCTTTCGTGTGGCCTAGTTCTGTAGAGGTAGGGAGTAAGTATCGTCAGGTTTGGTCTGTCATAGAGGAATAGTGCCCGCATTATCTATTGCCAATGAAGAGGACGCATACTGTTGACCAGATATCCCACCAGGGACCCCACGCCAATAGGCGTCGCTACAGCCAGAACTGGGGAGGTAAAGAACTCTTGAGGGAGTGCAAATGACCACGGCATCGTTATTGAGGTTTGAAGATATTTCCGAGTAGATTATTGATCTTTGTTCTTTTACAAAAATAAGTTGTCCATACTGCTGAGTGTACGGGTTTTAAGTGCTCTGCTCAGCCCATCATCCGATCGATCGATAGTCACCCACGTCATTCATTATTATTCTCGCTTAGAAGAGGCGCTCGACAGCTGTCTATGCTCTCCATGACTCGGTGGCCAGCTACGAAACATAAATCGATTAAACATGAATGGCAGATGTTTATACAATCATGAGTACCACTATAAGAGAGAGAATACAGCCAGCAGAGTATCTGGGACGCCCTCGAGTCAACAAGTGCCAGTGGCTTGGCTTCAGGGAAATATATACCACGAAACAAAGAAACAAAAAGACAAATCACACCGAGTCAAAAGAGCTTGCTGGTCAACTAAACAGCTCGGCGATGACACGGAATACAGACTCGGCAAAATATGGACACGTTTTTATCAGTCGTACTAGCTTGACGACGGTGACTTTCGAATGGGCAGCTGCATGTGCCTCCAAGGTATCCTGGCGTTGAGGAGGCGAAAGAACCGAAGTGATTCAGGGGACCGTTTCGACTCCCAATGGAATCTTGTAGAAGGAAAGCTGAAGTTGATATAAAGCATCGCAATGCTCTCCATCAAACCAAGCAAAGTCATGTTTGAATATAGTCGGCGAATTTCATCCAGTTGAAAGACCAGATAGAAGAGCATCCCATCTGACAGTCATCCATCATGCCACTCAAATTGCTTTGCCTGCATGGTTGGGGCACAAACATCAAGGTATGTGACACGAGAATTCGATCCTCGTCCTGCTCGCTGAAATTGTGACAGATCCTGCAATCTCAGCTGAGTAGGTAGCACAGCCCTCAGGTCTGCTCCCACATGCTAAAGAGACAGACGGCTTGATGACCGAACTCCAACGGGACAACACGGCGACATTTCATTTTGTCGAAGGCGACGTTGACTCGGTGCCGGGTCCTGGCATCTCAGGATTTTATGACGGTCCCTACTACAGCTATTACAAGTTTCCCCGGTCGTTTTCTGACTCTGACGGCAGCGAGGAAGAATCCTTGCTCGAAGCATACAACCTCCTCTACGACATCATCGACGAGGACGGTCCATTTGATGGCATCCTAGGCTTCTCTCACGGAGGAACCCTGGCGTCTGGCTTTCTCATTCATCATGCGAAGACATATCCGCATGAACCACCTCTTTTTCGATGCGCCATATTCATCAATTCCCTGCCACCGTTCCGCATGAACCCCGGTGAGAGCCCTGTCATCGATTCAGACCTTGACGGCTATATCAAAATACCGACTGTAAGCATCGCTGGGGCGAAGGATCCCTTGTTCGAGTATTCGCTTGCATTGCACAGGTTGTGTGATCCATCAAAATCCACGTGGATAGTGCACAGCAAGGCCCACGATATTCCCAACGATAAGAAAAATGTTGTTTTGATGGCTGCAGGTATCCGCAAGTTGGCCATCGAGGCCTTGGCGATATGGTGATAGTACCCTGGCTTTTCTTTCTGTCCTACATTTCACAGAATAGAATATTCCGCATGTCTATCCTGCATTCATTGGTTTCAATGCCGGTTTTCTCAGTGTACTGGTACGGAGCATTCTTTGGGTGACGTTTGGTTTCGAATTTCAGGTTTGAAAGATCGGATATTAACCAAGCTCTGTATATTTGTCTGCTGGACCTGCAATTTAATGATTGTCATTGAACCTTTGCCGAAGCTCAGTCACATGTGAGTACGTCAAGACTGTCACATGGATGGGCCATTTGTAGTTTTCTACCATGGCTGTCAACTCCTTCGAAGGGCCTGGCGAACCCGTTCAGCTCCCTTCTTCTCCCTCTAGTGCCCACAAAGAAGATGAAGCTTCAAACTTATTGGACGACCCATCAATGCCCATTGCCATTATTGGCATGGGATTCCGAGGGCCCGCAGATGCCAGTAGTGTTGAAAGGCTGTGGAAAATGATCCTTGGAGGTCGAGAAGCATGGAATCAGATACCCGAGTCGAGATGGAACAGTCATGCGTTTTACCACCCAGACCATGCGAGGCACGGCACTGTAAGTCACGACAAATGGCGAAATGCGCTATGTGATAACACTATCTGCAGATCAATGTTCAAGGCGGCCATTTTTTGACGGAAGATGTATCTCTTTTCGATGCGCCCTTTTTCAACATGACCAGTGACGAGGCAGCGGTTTGTAGCCTTTCAACAAAGTATCTGCACAGTTGGGTCGTATCAAGCTTATCGTATCATTTCTCAGGCGATGGATCCCCAGCAGCGGTTATTGCTCGAAGTGACCTACGAAGGACTAGAGAACGGTTTGTTTCCCACAGCACAGAGGTCGTCGGATAGCACTCACGCCTGCCAGCCGGTATACCTCTTCCCAAAATCATGGGAAGCCAAACATCCTGTTTCGTTGGGTCTTTCAATGCGGATTACACAGATCTCCTTCTCCGCGACCCTGATGCTATCCCCATGTATCAATGCACCAATGCCGGCCAGTCGCGAGCCATGATGGCTAATCGAGTGTCATACTTCTTCGACCTAAAGGGCCCTAGCGTTACAGTCGATACCGCTTGCTCGGGAAGTCTAGTTGCACTGCATTTGGCGTGTCAGACGTTGCGCACCGGCGATGCTGCGATGGCAATCGCGGCGGGGGTAAATGTGATTCTTAGCCACGAATTCATGTCCACAATGACCATGATGAAGTAGGTTTGCATGAAGCACTTGAATGCCATTGAATTAAACAGTATCCAGGTTCTTATCACCGGAAGGACGCTGCTACACATTTGACGAGAAAGCCAACGGATATGCTCGTGGCGAAGGGATTGGATGTTTGATCTTGAAGCCGCTCACAGACGCCATCAGAGACAAAGACCCTATCCGAGCTGTAATTAGGGGTTCTGGGTCGAATCAAGATGGCAGAACTCCCGGCATCACTCTCCCGAGTGGAGCGTCACAGGAGGCCTTGATTCGCCATGTTTACAGCATGGCAGGTCTTCATCCACATGACACAGAATTCGTCGAAACACATGGCACAGGAACTCAAGCAGGAGATCCAATTGAGACAGGAGCACTCGCGAAAGTGTTTTGTGCCGATAGAAACCCAGACAAGCCACTGCGCATCGGGTCAATCAAAACAAACGTGGGGCATCTGGAGGGAACAAGCGGAGTCGCCGGCGTGATCAAGGCAGTGTTGATGCTCGAGAACCGCACTTTTCTCCCCAACCGCAACTTCACTTCCCTCAACCCGCGCATCCTGCTAGACGAATGGAAGCTCAAGGCATGTTATCCCACTTTGTCCCACACGAATGAATAGCAGAATAACGATTCCAGATACAACTCGATTCGGAACCATGGAAAAGCACAGGGCCTCATCGCGTGTCGGTAAACAGCTTCGGATACGGGGGAAGCAACGCACATGTTATCCTGGAAGACACGTATGGATACCTCCAATCGCACGGGTTCCAAGCACTTGTTGGCAAACCACGTACACCTTTCCTGAGGAAGCCTCTTGAGTCATCGCAAGCTCCCAACGGCCGCCACCAATCGCCCATACGTACGCGCCTCTTTATGCTCTCCGGTTTCGACGACCGTTCTATTGCAAAGCAAATAGAAAACATGAAAGCCTATCTCATCGAAAGGCAATCGATAGCTGATGATGAGTTCATGAGTAATTTGGCGTTCACGTTGAATCAACGGCGTACTGCCATGATGTGTCGAGCAGCGGCTACTGGCCACTCAGCTGCCAACGTGATTAAAGCTTTTGAAGGCAGTATCAAAGTCAGAAAGGCTACGAGAAAGCCAGTGGTTGGTTTCGTTTTCACCGGCCAAGGAGCGCAATGGTGTGGGATGGGACGGGAGCTGGTGGGAGCGTATCCCGTTTTTCGCCAGTCAATGGAACGAATTGATGCACACTTGAGTCGTCTTGGAGCTCAATTTTACGCCCTAGGTAAGAGGAAGGCCCGAGTCATTGAATCAAGGTTCACATCCCAAGTAATACAGAAGCTCTACTAATCGTGCTGCCAACAGGTGAAATACTCGAGAACCAATACGCATCGCGGCTCAACCATCCTCTTCACAGTCAAACGATCTGCACAGCACTCCAAATTGCACTTGTCGATCTTCTAAGTTCATGGAGCATACATCCAGATTCGGTTACTGGCCACTCCAGTGGCGAAATAGCCGCAGCGTACGCCATCGGAGCGTTAAGCATGGAGGATGCTATATCAGTTGCATACTATAGGGGCGTTGCGGCGAGCAAGTTATCACAAAACGAAGAAGTGAAAGGAGGGATGCTCGCTGTCGGGATGTCGTCCGCCCAGATCGAACCGTTCCTGAACGCCTTGAAAAATGGGAAAGCCGTCGTGGCATGCATTAACAGTCCATCCAGCGTTACTGTCTCGGGAGACATTGAAGCAATTGAAGAGCTTGAGAAGGTATTAAAGGAGAAAGAACTCTTCTGCCGACGTCTGGCAGTTGATGTTGCATATCATTCCCACCACATGGAACTAGTCGGTGGTGAATATCTGGACCTGATATCGAACATTCGACCACGAATTGGAAGAAAATCCGGAAAGCATCCCGTCTCTTTCTTCTCGTCGGTGATAGGAGCTGAGGTCAAAGCCTCCGATCTTGGCCCTCAATATTGGACTAGAAATCTTCTCGGCCAGGTCAAGTTCGTTGACTCCGTCAGAGCACTTTGCTTTGAAACCAGTACTCAGAAATCGATGTTTGCGGCCCCTAATAACAGACGTACCAGACGACCAAACGGTACACGCAAGGTCAATGTCGATGTATTGCTGGAAGTTGGCCCTCACGCAGCATTATCAGGCCCGATTCGCCAAATCCTGAAAGATGACAACAAACTGGATGCGGCCGGGATTCAATATGCGAGCGTTTTGACTCGAAAAATCGATTCCGTCACGACAGCATTAGAGGTTGCTGGAACCTTGGCCTGCCTGGGTTCTCAGGTCAACTTTCCAGCAATAAACGACCCATTGAATGAGACAAGAGATACACATGTCATGGTTGATCTTCCTTCCTATGCATGGAATCACAGTAGATCATACTGGGCTGAGTCACGCATCAGCATGACTTACAGAAAGCGCAAGCAACCCCGAACAGATCTCCTGGGTGCTCTCGACAGAATGTCATGTCCGTTCGAACCTCGTTGGAGAAACTTTGTGCGTGTATCGGAGATCCCTTGGCTCAAAGACCATAAAATTCAGTCGAACATAGTTTACCCTGCAGCGGGCTACATTGCAATGGCCATAGAAGCTGCATATCAACACCTGTCGGAGCGGGAGGACAACAAGGTCATGTCAGCATTTATTCTCCGTGATATTGAGATAAAAGCCGCTTTGGTCATCCAGGAGCACCCTGCCGCTGAAGTCATGACCTCGCTACGAGCGTGTCAGGGTGGTATCAAAGACTCCGAGCACCTCTACGAATTCAACATCTACTCAGTAACCGCTGAAAATCGATGGACCGAGCATTGCCGTGGTCTAGTTGGCGCCTATGACATGACCATGGACACCGAGTATGGGACTGGCTCCCAGACTCCGGTAAAAGCTTCCGACCTCAGCGTCATAGACATCCCGACGTTCTACGAAAAGCTAGCTAGCATTGGCCTCGAATATGGTCCTTGCTTTGCGAATCTGACTCACGCTCATCGTGCCGACAACTTTTGTTTCGCTGAAGTTACTATCCCTGACACAGCGGCTGTCATGCCAATGAATTTCCAGTACCCATACTTGATCCACCCATGCACCCTGGACAGCATATTTCATTCAGTATTTGTTCAAACGAATTTTGGAGACGATCCCGCAATTCCGGTTCATATAGACCAGCTTTGTGTGTCTCGGTGTACAGAGCGTTCACCGGGCAATAAAATGCATATTGAGACGCAGATTGACAAGCGGACGAGAAAGGGTATTGTAGCCTCAATTACGGTGACAAACAGCAATGATACTATTGCTATGTCGGTTAAGGGATTGCGATGCAAGACCCTCGAGAACAGCGCCCCCAAGGATACGGTGAACCCGACTGATCGCGTTGGGTACATGCTTACTTGGAAAGCAGATCCGGATCTACTTTCAAGGCAAGACTTTAGCACTATTTTCACTGAGAAGAACAATTACGACAAGGAAGAATCCGCAAAGAGAACTTCGTTAGAAAGTTGCGCGTCCTACTACATCCGGAAAGCCATCCAAGATCTTGAATCCGTGGACAAAGAAGGATTGCATCCAGACAGAAGACAACAGCTCGAATTTTTTGTCCATAGAATGCAAGAAAGTCGCTTGGCCCCTTCATCAGACACAAATAGCGCCGATATCCATGCAGTGAGTTCTTCCGGACCGGAAGGAAGACTCCTCACTGCAACGGGCGAGCAACTCAGTACAGTCTTGAGAGATCCAAAATTTTCACCCATTGAGACTTATCCTTCAGTATGGGCACAATACTGGGACGCTATCCGCTCAACCCCGGTGTACGACAAATTAGCTAGCTATCTCGAGCTAGTCGGCTATAAGAACCCAATGATCTCGATCCTTGAGGTGGAGGGTACATTTGGACAATCTTCACAGACTCATCTCGAGAGGCTCTTGAATAATAGTGGGCAAGGTCCAATATGCGGTGAATACACAATCACTCATCAAGCCCCATCGATCCCTGAACACTTCGCCCCAGTGCTTTCCAAATTGAGCCAATGGCTAAAAGTGAAGAAATTGGATCTCAACCAGAGTCCGGAGACACAAGACTTTTCTACACATCAATATGACGTCGTCCTCGTGCCCTTTGGGCTTTATACGGTCCGATCGAAGTTGCAAGCTCTCAGGAATATCCACAAGCTTCTGAAGCCGCAAGGGCATTTGATTATTGTGGATCCCTTCGCTGATCATGACGATTTAGTCAACCCTGTTATCTTTGCCAATTCTCCGGGATGCTGGTCAGAAGGCCGATTTGGGTATATGCGTGAAGACTGGAATGTCGCTCTCTCGGCGGCTGCATTTTCCGAAACAAGAGACGCAGGCACCTCAGGAAGAGGGCCATCCTGGATTATCTCACGTCCATTGCATAAGCAGTCAATGTCCCAACGAAGTATTCTAATCATATCTGAAGATGGTGACAATGGTGTGAGCCTGTCAGCTCTGCGAGACTGTCTCAGCCTTATTTCGTCCAACATCGAAATCGCGGATTTCACGCATGCCAAGCCAGAAGGAAGAGTGTGCATCATTTTCAGTGGCCTTAGTCGGCCTCTGATGACAGACCCTACTTCAGAGGAACTGGAAGTACTGAAGCAAATCTTCTCGAAGGCAACGGGCGTCCTGTGGGTAACTCGAGGAGCAGCGATTTGCCCAGTGGCACCGGACAATGCGCTGGCGACTGGATTCATGAGAACCGCGCGCTCTGAATCAGGAATTGAAAGAATCGTTACATTGGACCTGGACGGACAGAATCCGCTCCCAGGTCATCGCGCCGCTGAGGTTATATGCACAGTTGTGCGCGAGCGAATTCTGGCAGAGGGGAACGACCAAAGTGATACAGAGTACGCCGAGCGAAACAACGTGCTCCTCATTCCTCGAATTGTTGAAAACCATGCCTTTAACAGTTCCCTTGCGTTGTCGCATGAGACACAGTCAACGAGCCTTGAGAAGTTCCATCAGAAGGATAGATTCCTTAAAGCGACGATTCCCGATGCCTATCAGGCAGATGAAGTACTCTTTGTGGACGATTCCAGGAAGAATGACCTACCAGCGGACCATATTCGTGTTCAAATTTATGCAGCATGCATAGATAAACAAGCCGTAAACGCTCTGGAAGAGCAGGATACGTCTCAAGAATCAGCAATGAGCTTCGGAGCCAGCGGGATTGTTCAAAGCGTCGGAGAAGCTGTCCAGGATTTCGCCCCGGGTGACCGAGTGGCTTGCCTTGCGCAAGGAGCAGTAGCCAATTACCAGCAGGAACAGGCGTTGGCGTTCCAAAAATTGCCGTCGGATTTATCTTTTGAAGCAGCAGCAGCCTTGCCTGCGGCTTATTGCACAGCACTATATGCTCTTCAAAACCTTGGGCGGGTTGTCTCCGCAGAAAGGGTCCTAGTATACGGAGCTATAGGAACAGTTGGGCAGGCTCTAGCAGAATTATGTCTGCATAGTGGTGCTGACGTGCTCTTCGTCGTCCGAGCTGAGAAAGAAAAGCATTCCCTTGTCAGCACAGTTGCAGTACCTGATGACCGAATCATCGTCGACGAAAATGGAGCTCATGTCAGAAGGCTTCTGAGGATTAAGCCGCATCAAGCTTTTGACGTGATAATCAATTTCGAAGGTTCCGACAACGAGACGCTACAGATGCTATGCAGGTTGGTCGGTGCATGCGGCAAATTCATACACCTTTACCGCGAGCGCTGGAATCAGCGAACATGGACGATTCCACAGCTGGAGAATGATATCACGTTCGCAACACTGGACATCAATAAGCTCTTGAGAGACAAGCCAACATTGCTGTATAAAACATGGGGTGAGGTAATGCGCATGTTCCGTGCTGGACACATCCGTGGCCCCAATGCCTGGGCACTGTACAGCGTCTCAGATATGCTGGGGGCATTGAACGCGTTGGAATCGGAAGATATGGATTCGGCAGTAATCGCCGCTCAACCAGAGGACGTTGTGAAGGTAAACTCAGAGAAATATCTCCGGATTCCTGCTGACAAAAGAGCAGGTCATCACTCGGAAGCCGCACACTGCCGTACTTCATCCAGAAGTGTCTTATATTCTCGTTGGTGGCTTAGGGGGTATCGGACGAGCCACGGCCCTCTGGATGGCTGATAACGGGGCTCGATCGTTGATCTTCGTCAATAGAAGTGGGCTGTCCAGCGTCGCAGCACAGGAAACAGCACAAGATCTGGAAAAAAAGGGAGTCCACGTCATTGTTTACGCTTGCGATATATCTGATAGCAAACAAGTCGAGAATATGGCGCGTGAACTTGCGCGTGATGCCCCTCCAATTCGAGGAGTTATTCAGGCCGCCATGGTCCTCCGGGTACGTCCATTCAATCTACGCAGACAATACGATACCCTTTGAAAACTGACCCGTCAATAGGATATCCATATCGAGAAAATGACCATCGATGATTACCTCTCCGTGCTACAACCAAAGTACGCAGGAACCTGGAATCTGCACCGCCATCTCCCAGACAACCTCGACTTCTTCGTCATGCTCTCCTCAATCAGCGGAATCATCGGAAACGCCACCCAAGCCGCCTACGCCGCCGGCTCGACCTTCCTGGACGCATTCGCTGCATACCGCAACTCCCTCGGTCTCCCAGCCGTCTCCCTAGACCTAGGCGTGATAACCGACGTAGGGTATCTGGCCGGCAACCGCGACCTAGCAGCCAAGATGGCCCAGCAAGGGTTTCACGGCACAGACACAGCGACGCTGATGTCTCTAATGGAGGCAGCGATCAGGGCGCCGTTTGGTGAAGGCGGGACCTCCCAGATCATCACGGGATTGGGCGAATGGAAAGAGGGGCAGTCGCTCAGCAACTTTGACGCTCCTCTCTTTGCACATTTCCGGCGACAGTTCCAGCAGAAGGGTGGGAATGACCAGTCCGATGAGTTTATTGGCAAGTTACGTGCGAATCTCCGAGGTGCCACTAGCCTCGAAGAGGCTTCTGGACTTGTCTATGGGGCTCTGAGCGGGAAAATCGCGTCGCATCTGTCTGTTCCGATCGAGAGCATCGATGCGTCGAATCCCATTACGGAATACGGGATCGACTCGCACATGGCGGTGGAGTTGAGAAACTGGATCTCGAAGACCATGGAGAGCACGGTGCCGATTTTGGATATTCTGGCAAGTAGTACGTTGTTGGATCTGGCGGGCAAGATTGCATCCAAGTCTAGATTGGTTCATGTGGAGGAGTAGTGATAGCTGATATTTCTTCTCTAAGCAACGATATTATGAAATCTAAGCAAGTCTAGTATTGTGGAATCTTGGTATAAAACAAGAGATCTCAGGAGCCCAATGGGCTTCGAGGGCAGTACGTGAGACGGGTAAAACGGGAGATAGAAAGAGGAAAGAGAAACAGGCGTTGACTGAAGACACCGAGACCGTGAAGGCCCAGTAATAAGATCGAAAAGAACAGATTCCAGTTCTTTCCGAGTAAGAAAATAGTGACCAGATGGAGAAATGGGAAAGCCCAAAGTGGACAATCACTCCGCCTTCTTGGAAGCCTTGGTCCGCAGTTTCATCAACACGTACACCAGGGCATACGAACTGAGGACGAAAATGCAAACAATGGCAGCATCCCGCCAGCCGTAGTAGTAGTCCTTCAAGTTGATAGTGTAGAGGTAGTCGCTTCCGTACCGATACTGGCAAACACGGCAGCCAGACGTTGCCTCCGGATTGATGAGATTCGCACGGGACCCGATGCCCTGCATATACGTCGATAGGTAATCTGCACAGGTCGTGCCATTCGGAGTGTCGAACACGGCGAACTCGCTGTCCTTGCATTTGACATTCGTGTCGAACACGGCGAAGACCAGCATGCTGCCCATGAGGTAGTTGAACGGGTTGAGCCAGTAGATCCAATACCGCCAGAAAGCCTGGATCTGGGCGTATGGAACGAGCACACCGCAGAAGGAGACCAGAGTACCGATGATGAGAGGGTTGCTCAGTGCGGCGAAGGTCGCGTTGGGTGCGTACGCTGCAATAAATTGTCCAATTCCCTGGGTAGCATGTTAGCTATTTGACCAAGAGATTGGGCGAGAAGGATGAACAAACCGTGTAAAGGAATTCGTAGCATAGCATGACAAAGAATATCGCGCCGGCCTTGTCGGAGTCTGAGGAGAATCCAACGGTGTAGTACCAGCAGACGAAGTACAAAACAGCGCATACGCAGAGGTAAGGGAACTCGGATACGATCAGAGCCGTGACGAACGCTTTCCATGAGTACATTTTGGACTTCTTCTCCCGTGCATCATAGATGTCACGGCGTTCGATGAACAGAGGCTGAAGCTGGTTGATCACACCGGGGGCAACGAAGATGAAATTGAAAATAGTGAAGAGTTTGAGTTGCATATCCGAGACGCCGTCACCAATCATCCAAAATGAGAAGCCGTTGAATAAGGCCGATCCGATGTGCAGTGCGAACTTATTCATGATGTAATCACAATTTCTGTATAATGAGGTGGACATTCTCTGTGTGACGATCTTTGTTTGTTGCCAGAGCGGCATGGCGAATTCATGACCATCGTCGACAGTCCCAGGGGGCTTTGATGCTGCTTCGCTGATGATGGTATCGAGTTCCTTGGCGGCGCGGCTGTGCTCCGGTGACTCAAGCCAGACTTGGTTCCAATCGCGACCCTGGGACAAGTGACCAGAGACAACGTCGATCATATGCTCGGCAGGATTAACATTGGCAGGGCATGGAGCACCATATCGACCGAAATAATCCTTGACTGTCCGACCGTTGTCGCCGATGTCACCAAAGTAGACCATCTTACCACCTTTCGCCAGAAGCAAGAGGGTATCGAATTCAGCAAACAACTGGGCAGAGGGTTGATGAATGGTCACAAGAACTGCCTGGCCGACATCAGCAAGCTTTCGTAAGAAGCGGACAGTGTTGTAGGCGGATTGGCCATCAAGACCAGAGGTAGGTTCATCCAGGAAGATCAGAATGCTAGGCTTCGACACAAGCTCCACACCAATGGTGACACGCTTGCGCTGCTCGACGCTCAATCCTGCACCCACTCGACCGATGAGAGTGTGCTCAAGATCATGCAGCTCAAGGAGATCGATGATGACGTCCACGTATTTCAACTTCTCCTCTCTTGGAACATGCCGTGGTTGACGAAGCAAGGCGGAGAACTCCAGAGCCTCGCGAACAGTAGCGAATGGTTCATGCACATCAAGCTGCTCACAGTAGCCCGCGGATCTCTGGAAAGACACAGGCAACGGACGTCCGTCTACCATGATTGAACCTCGGATGGTACCGTCTGTTTTACGCTGAGCCAAAACATCCAAAAGAGTGGTTTTGCCGGCGCCCGAGGATCCCATCAAAGCGCCCAGCATGCCGGGCTTGACCCAACCGTAAACGTTGTCAAGCAACACACGATCACCCGATGGGGTCTTGACAGTATAGGTTAGATCCTTCCATGTAAAGACCGACGTATTTCGAACCAGTTGCTGATCGACTTCGCTCTGGTCCGGAGAGTCGGTGTTGCTACCTTTGTGACCAGCCTTCTCGGTTGCCTGTGCTTCTTCGTCCTTGCGAGCCACATTGTGATGTTTGGCCACCGTCTCACGGGGGATCAGTAGCGTATTGCCAGCTTCCGCGGCAGACTTCCAGTGAGATGTAGCGATGATAGTCACGGCAACGAAAAGCGCCCACCAGGCCCAGAGAATACCAAAGTTTCTCCAGACATGCGAGTAGGAGTAGGTGAGGGAAGCCAGATATTGGTCCCCAGTCACATGGGTCATTCCCTGAACCGCACCACTTACACCGGCGCAAGACTGGTACGGAGTATCCTCATAGCCAGGTCCGAACGGTACTAGGTTATTGCCAATGCATGGAATGATCTTGTTGTGGAACTCGATGGAGAGCAACGCGTCAAAGGCATATGCCATCGGATTGATCCAATATATCCAGATGAACCATGGATGCATCGCATGGTAAGGTTCTAAGTAGCCGCAGTACATGATTAAAGCGCTGATTAAGAAGCCAGAAACTTTCGAGGCACCGTCGAAGGTAGAGAAAAGCGCTCCGATGGCACGGAACAACGCGGTCATGACCTACACAGAGCATCTGTCAGCACGTGGTGGATTCCATATGAACTTGATACTGGATCCTAGTGCAATCAAGCGAGACTTACCATAGTGGCCACAAAAATGATTACCCAGTAAGAGAAAAAGGCCGCTGCTGTCGTGGTGAGGCCAACCATGAAGTAGACAACGATCGCAAAGATACTGATCTGGAACAGGAGAACGGGGATATCGGCAGCAATCTGGGCAATGCAGAACGCGGCTGGGTGAAAGAAAGCAAAATACTTGTGCTTAATAAGGACTGGTCGACCGTTGAAGGAATCCGTGACCTCCGACATGGCGAGGAGGCTGTTGTATAGCAACGAGAAGAACAGAGCACCTGCCTTGATGAATAAGCCACCAGAGTTGTTCGGAGCATTATAAAAGAGAGAACCAGCGACGAGGGCTTGAATCAGAGTAGAAATTTGCTTGATGGCAAATGTCGCCTTATCAGTCCAAATGATCTGGTACTGACGCACAACACACGCCTTGACCTGTTGCAAAAAGTCGACGGTGAACGGGCTGTTCTTCGACAACCGTTTGGCTTTCTCATCAGCAACTCCAAGCTTGAATTCTTCAGTCCGTTCCCGAGTCGACTCAGTATCAGGGTAGTCGTATTCAATTGCCATCTGGGCTCGGATTGGTGACTTCTCATAAGCGACCAGAATCTCATCCGCGGTGCGCGGGAAGCGATTCTCATATCCTGGTCGGATTTTGCGCTCGGTCGGGACGGTAACACCAGTCAGGAAGTCTGCCACATTCGACCCTTCACTGCAAATAAAGCCTAGCTCCTCCATGAAAGGCCGTGCCTGGGACATTGGCCCATAGTAAATTTGCTTGCCCTCGTCGAGAACCAGGACTTTATCGAACAGGTCATAGATGCCGTTTCCTGCTTGATAAAGTGTAACAATTGATGACAATCCAAAGATGTCGGTCATTGCTCGGACAGCTTTCGCCCACTCAAGAGCAGTGCTAGCGTCCAGTCCTCGAGTACTGTTGTCCCAGCAGAAGACGGAGCCACGAGTTGCAAGACATTCGATGATCGACACACGTTTCCGCTCACCACCACTGACCCCTCTCACATACTCATTGCCGACTTTCGTATCCGAAGTATGAGAGATGCCCAAGGACTTGAGCAAGAAATCTCTGGTTTCCTGCTGAAAAGCTTCCGGTGAAGTAACGCCCTCGGGGAGGTTGGAGGGAATTTTGAGTCGAGTTGCAAAATCCATGGTCTGTCCAACAGTCAAGGTAGGAAAGAAGAGTTCCTCCTCGGTGTTCATAACAATTTGACCGCGGTATTTGGAGGCCTCGTCAGGAGTAAGCGATCCGAAGCGAACATCTCCCTGAATCGACTTGTAGCCGAGTCGATGGTTAGAAAGCATCCTGAGCAGAGTTGTACAGCCCGAACCGGGACGACCGAGAACAAGAAGCATCTCTCCCGGTTTGACACAGCCATGGCTTTCGTGAAGAATAGTCCGTAAAGGTGCCTTGTTACGAGACTCTCGAATATGCTGAGGAATGTTGAATTGAGACAAAACGTTCTCGTTGATGGCGGCATCTGCACTGACGACCTCCACACTCAGATTCTTCCAGGTCACGCCAAGTTCGCGACGTTTGGAACCCGATGCAAGATTCCGCTCATGATGTTGCTTGAGCTCGGGCATCAAACTCCAGTCCTCAGTGTGGGAGATGGGTTGAGGACGAGGAGTAGGCGACTGATCGATTTCATCGAGAACGGTGTTCGTGCTGTCTGTGTCATCTCGCCTGTCGAACACTGTCGGCTCCATGAACGGTGGATGGCCTTGGTCCTCCATGGCTCAGCAGGCACCAAGTTTCAGTGACCAGAAGGGCGAGAATTTTCCAAGTCGAGATTGGAGACAGGTCGAGGGGGTCCCAGGAGCCATTGAAGGTATATAATAGTTTGTCATTCTGCAGAATGGTTCAGCCGAGTGGGTCAGCGGTTTGAACAGACCCGGGCTCCGAGTCTCACAGCTTCATAAAAATACACGATCTGGGGCTGTGTTTGCCAATCATCATGGCCGATGCCGTTGTAGATCGATATCTATGGTAAGGTTGCTGTTACGGGAGGGGCTTGCGCCGCTAATTGTTGATTCTCCCCTGGGTGGCCCAGGCGCGATAATGCCGACTCTGTGTCCGAAATTCCGAATGGAAACTCCGTGGATGAAAAATCAGGGATGACTGTTATCATGTCGACCGATCCCGAATGAGGTGCTTGGCCAGGTCGAAGACGAAAAAGGTGGTTATCGTCGCGATGCGCCGTTTTGATTTGTTCAAACAGGAGCAGCGGCTTTTGGACAGTGGAATCTGGTGTCGGCGTCGGACGCCTCTTAGCCCGGCTTATTCTGGGACCTCCGCTGAGTCAGCCATCATGAACCAACCATTGGCTCCTACCATTTGGCCAAGGGCTCGGCGGAATCAGCAGAGCTGGCCCTCTTCCGCTGACTCAGCGGCTGCCAACCATCCTGGCCCACTCTGCTCTCAATTTTTCCACTGCATTTCGATGGTTTGTTTCAATAATGGAGTTACATTTCCTAGAACGCCTTCGTTCTGGACCATACGTCAGTTTGGTAGTTCTCCAAAAGACCGAGAATCGCTCAATCCAGCCGAGATTAAGATCCTGATGACAGATCATCGATGGTTCAGCTCGATAAGAGGTCCTGCCGTTTCCGGCTTCGGGCGGAGACCTCGGAAGTTGTCGACATATAAAACAGAAAATCTGCAGGTATTGAGTCTCTTTAATTCGAACCCTTTGACCTGTGTCTATGTTGTATCGATGCACATGGCATGTCAGCAAGACTGGGTTTTCTTCTTTCTGCAATCCCCCTCCGTCGTGTGCCGAGACTCCGGGATGACTTTCTTTGCGTAGTGAGGGATTTGTTACGACATGATAATGTACGACACTGCCTCGCTGCAATTGTCCTAGGAGGCCATCATTCTGTTTCAGGGCTCCCGTTCAGGGACATGTCCCCGAGGAAGACTTCACATGTCGCAGACCTGGGCCTGTACTGACACTAGATACGAAATCAGCATCATTGTACATGTAGTGGATGCAGAGTAAGTCAGCTTGCAGCAGGGTTGATGTATCTCATTGCTAACGGCATTAATCGACCCCACTGGTTACTCTCCAGGAAGATGCGATATGCGAATATCTAGTAAAGCGCAGAGACTCAAGAATTAGGGTCACGGATCATCCCAGATGCAGCAGTTGTTAAGGGAATATTCTGTAGTCCTCGGAAATCAAATCAAATCAAATCAGTAATCAGTTATTCTGCTCATAGATGACAATGTGCTCTAATATGCTCAGCCTTTGTCTTTGAGGTAAAGTTGCTGACAACTTCGTGTAACCTCACCTGCACCGTCTGAGACGGGCATATTCGCAGTCCGATAAACAAGCACAGTCAACCAAACCCGTTTCATCAAATCCTGGCTGATTCACAAGAACTCTTGGGCTGACAACCCGGAAACGAAGATCTGCTACCTATTATGCTTAGATTCTGGCGGCGGTCGCGAGTTCTTTCACCAGTCACCCAGCGTGTCCGAAACGCTATTCTTCTCGGCGAAAACTGTCCAATGTGAGAAACAAGCCTCAAGGGACAGATCCGGAAGAACCAGTTCCACGTTAGTAGCATTATTTACTCTGACTTGTAATTTCCTATGTCGCTAACTCCATTCGTAGGTCATGATCCTTATATGTACACCAGTGGAAGATGGCTCAATCGGGACGAGCTCGAACGAAACTCTCGCCATGTTTTGTTCGACTTCTCGGCGCTTCGTGATAGGGCTATCTGTCTATCCCCAGGAGCAACCGAGATCGTCAAATGCGAAAAGAGAGAAGGTGGATTTAACAGAGTCTTTCTTTTCACAATGGACACAGGTTCTTGTGTTGTGGCGAGATTACCGACCGGTATTGCTGGCCTGCCAAGGTTAACGACCAACTCTGAAGTCGCAACGATGACATACTGTAAGGCTGATCTACATACCTGCCTTCTTGGGGGTGCAGTTGACATGCTCACTGATTTCTGTTTCTCGTATAGTACAATCCAAGATCTCGCTTCCGATACCGGAAATCCTTGACTAGAACGATAATCCGTCAAGTCCAATCGGTACAGAATATATCATCCAGGAGCATGTTGCGGGTGTTCAGCTGCACCAAATGTGGCCCAAAATGAATTCAAAACATCATATGCTGTGTACTAAGATGCTTTCATTGGCGATGAGAGATATGGCATCCTTGGACTTTCCGGCGTATGGTAGTCTATACTTCTCAGATGGGCCGCTAGAGTTGCACATGAAGATTCCCTTCGAACAGGGCTTCTGTATTGGTCCACATTGCAGTCCAGTCTTCTGGAACCGGAATCCGGGGGAACTTGAACTCTACGGCGGTCCGAGTCCCAATTGCGGTCCTTGTCAGTTTCACGATTCTCTACCTCGTTAAACAACAGTTCTAACGTAGCGGGCGCAAAATTAGGGAAAGACCTCACAAGCTATTGTCAAGGCTTGATAGAGACCGGCTTCTCTCGTTTACCGAAAGAAGATGCTGGCAATCGCGAGTTTCTCCCTCATCAAGGATCCATTCAAAATCACATCAGTCTGCTGAGAATAAGTCAAGAAGTGATGCAGAAGTTGGTCAAAGATAAGCGCATTCAGGATGCCGCTACTCCAGCTCTGCTTCACCCTGATTTTCACAAAAGGAATATCTATGTCTCAGCCGAGGGACCAACCATTATTACTGGCGTGATTGATTGGGAATCAACAAGCATTGAGCCTGCGTTCATTTATGCCAATGAGACTCCTGATTTTGCTGCACTCCCTGAGGGCTCAGAGGGAAACACGTTCGAGAACGGACAAGACGAATACAAAGTTCCGGGCCACAAGGAACAAGAATGGAAAGACGTGTCGATCTGTTACCGGACATACGATGTGTGCATGAACGGCCTTGCTCCTAAACTACGCCCCGCGAGGTTACTCGATCCGCCCTTGTTTCGAGTCTTCCAATACTGTCATACGACTTGGAGAGACAGTGCCACAGCTATCCGCCAAGAGTTAATTGAGCTTGCAGCTCGCTGGACAGAACTGGGACTGCAGGGCTCTTGCCCATTTTCTCCGACTGAAGAAGAACTAAAGAAGCACGCTCGGGACTATGAAGACTTTGAGACCGTCCAAAAGCTTAAACTATGGCTAAGAAACTCCCTCCATACGAACCCTGATGGCCGGGTTCCGAATGATGTATGGACTGCTGCGAAAGATGCTCATCGCGCGGCGTGCGATGAATGGATACAGACGGCCAGAGAATCCGAGTCTCGTGGCGAGGGTCTGACAGTAGCAAAAGCGGACAAGTTGTGGCCATTTGATGCTAGCTAACGAGCAGGAAAAGTCAGTCCAGAAGAAATTTGCTGTTTATCCCAGCGCTTAGGGCTAAACCTTTGAGGTAATTCACTTTCGCTTTCCAGCGAAGGAACGACTGCTATTAGGGAGATGTTTATCGATTGGACCATTTAGGTCGAGGTACGGCCAGAAAAAGCAGGGCATGCTCTCAGTCTGTCTTTCAACCGAGGAAGAGCTTATCGACAAAAGTCAAATCCAGAACACGGCGCATCAAGTCCTCCACTAATACTACTGGCCACCCTCGTTGCGGCATGACCTAGTCAGGGAGCTCATACTATTACTGTAGAAGGATCTATATCGCCACCAGGACATTTCAAGGACAGAATAGTTCCTATGGAACAGACGCGATCTAGGCATCAAGCGGCCTATCGTTCAAGCCGGGCGACAACCACACCGCCGAGTGACACATGTAGGCTCGGGGCGAAGGTTAACTGTCATTTGGCGGGATACTCGGCCGAGATGCTGGGACCGTTCTGCTTAAGCTCCCATTTCCTTCGCCGGCCGCTGTGATGGTGGCTAAAAGGGACCGAACATCTGGGCGGGAGCCACAACGCCACCCATCCGGACGCAAGGAACATCGTCCGCTGAATGACCGACTGACAGGTGTTCCAGTGGACAACTGCTTGTGCTCTAGAATACAGCATATAGTGATGGACTATTTGTTCTGCCAAGACAGTCTGATACGAGGGAGCAAGTCCCTTCTGGGCACTACTAGCTCATCTGTCTGGCAATTCATAACTCAACAAGCAGGAGGCTTACTCTGCACTTTTCTAGAGAATGTTGTTTGAAACACTCTGATGCTTTACAACGCTCTAGACATCAAAGACAGTAGAGACTAAAGGCCACAGGTCTTGAGCCCCGCGGTGGATTGTCACAGTGTGATGCACATTGGCTAGATCGATGACGAGTGTCAACCTGCTACTTCAGGGTCTTTTGAGCGGCTGCACTCACGATAGGCTGGGATGGATGCGACCTCGTACAGTGGCAGTCTTTGACCAGCTGACCGGGACAGGCATTCGGTGACCGCGCAAAGTCCGAGTCACTGATTGACGGGTCATAGCCAAGAGATCAGGCCAGGTGCAGACATCGGAGATGCTGCGAGGGCAGAGCTCCAACTCTAATCCAGTCAGTTGGGGGTGGCAAGTGAAAATACCTTTGTCTTGCTATGGTAGAGCTTCTAAAGGCGTACTGAGATTCGCTGGTTGCAATAGAGGAGGACATTATATAGTTTGTTCGACCAAGAACTAATAGTAATTCGCCTCTAACATGCAGGGGTGAGAGATAAGCTTTTCGAAAGCAATCTATCTCGATATCCCAGCGCGCGAACAATGCGACAGACAGAAGAGAGAAAGACTTTCGTATCGAGAAAATAGCCTCGCCAGAAACGTACCTATTTGAGAAGACAGAGGGTGTCCAGTTCCTTTGCCAACTGCAACCCGTGGAGAACCGGCCTTCTACAGAATCAAAGAGCACAACGAGCTCTCAAGACTCAGATCCTGCGACACAAAGTTCAATGCTGAGATGTGGATATAACTTGGCATTGTTTGCCCCCCGACCGGACATCCTCCGACATCAACCAGGTCACTTTGGGCAACAGATGACACGGGGAAGCAAGCCGTATAATCAGCACAGACCGTGAAACGTGGGGGAGACCCACAAAGTACCAAGTTCGTGGCTGGATATCTGGCAGTATGGAGCCAAGCCAGCAACGGCAAGTGGCTACGGGAGTCAAGCTGGGGGTGGTGGACATTTTAGCCTGTAGTCTAATCCAGCTCAATCTTCATTGATTGGGGCTATTCTCCGCATTTCTCAGAATCATGGATCATCATCACTAAAGCAGCCAATCAGTCATTTCCCCGCGTTCCCCCAGAAAAGCCACGCCAGTAGAATCCCCCGCGTATTTCTCCTCAATGATCCATCCACAGACCTCTCCCACTCCGTTGTCCAATCGAGCTCTTTCGCAGTCTCTCCGTCCCGTGGGGGTCTCATCAAGGTATGATTGCATAGCTTGCAGATACCACAGTGTAACCGTGCAACGGCGCGCCAGTTCGAGCGCGTAACATATAAAAAGATGGCCGATCCCTTTCTTCTTCTGCGACCTCCACAGCGCAGACTCTGTCGCTCCTCTAAGTCATCTTTTTCTTTGATAAAATCGCTTTCAGTTATCGGCTGGCTCAATCAACATGGCCGCTGAGTTTACCAACAAAGACCTTCTGGGGGAGAAGGCTGAGATGAGCCATGAAGAGGTCGTACAGCTGGCTCAGTTGACCGAGGAAGAGAAAGTGGTTGAGAGAAAACTGCGACGCCGTATCGACTCTCTCATCATGCCGCTTGTCATTCTCGTTTATCTCATGAACTATATCGATCGGTAAGAATGCCTCCCTGAGATTGCGTCGATGGACTGTCTCGTGCAATATCTCCAAGTCTTCGCTTCTTCTCATTTCTCTTCAATCCTTCTACGTTGTTACACGGTTGTACCACCAGAACTGACCTCTTCAAAGGAACAATTATCCCGCAGCTCGTCTACAAGGTCTCGAACGCGATCTGAAACTCACCGATGCCCAGTATCAAACTGGTCTCTCCATTCTATTCGTCGGATACATTCTCATGCAGGTGCCGTCCAACCTGATTTTGAACTATATGGGACGGCCATCGCTATACCTGGGATTCTTCACCACCGCATGGGGCCTGGTCTCGCTGCTGACGAGCCAAGTCAAGAGCTTCGGGGGAATCGTCGCCTGTCGGTTCATTATGGGTCTGGTCGAGGCTCCCTTCTTCGCTGGTGTGCTCTTCTACCTCTCCAAGTGGTACACCAAGAAGGAGCTAGCTCTGCGCATGAGTATCTTCTACTCCGGTTCCCTCCTCAGTGGAGCCTTCGGAAATCTCATCGCGGCCGGTATCCTGAAGGGACTCGACGGGAAACGAGGCCTCGCAGCCTGGAAATGGCTGTACATTATTGAGGGCTCCATCACCATGGCCATCGGCCTCGTGGTCATGGCATTCCTACCCGACTTCCCATCAACCTGGAAGCTCCTCTCGGAGGAGGAGCGCCACGTCGCGAACCGCCGCCTGGCCATCGAAGCCGCCGAGGTCGATGTCGATGAAGCCGGCAAGATGAGCCAGGTCAAGGGCCTCAAGCTCGCCTTCAGCGACATCAAGACCTACGTCCTCGCCATCGCCTACATGTCCATCACCGGCGCCAGTGGCTTCCAGAACTTCTTCCCCACCCTCACCGCAACCCTAGGCTACAACCACTTCATCTCCCTCCTGCTCGTCGCCCCGCCCTACATCTTCGTCGTCTTCTACAGCTTAGCGCACTCCCACTTCTCCGACCGCTTCAGCAAGCGCTTCTGGTTCTTCTTCTACCCCATCCCCGTCACCATCATCGGCTTCATCATCTTCATGACCACCGACAGCTTCGGCCCAAAGTACTTCTCCTTCTTCCTCATGAACATCATCTTCGCCCAGAACGGCACCATCTACGCCTGGATCGGAAACGCCATCCCCCGTCCCCCGGCTAAGCGCGCCGCCGCGTACGCCTTCATCAACTCCATCGGTAACTCCGCCAGTATCTGGACCCCCTACACCTACCGCACGCAGGACGCCCCGCACTACCGCCCCGCGCTGGGGGTGTGTATCGGGTTGCAGACGCTCGGTGGCGTCATGGCCATCTTCATGTACTTCCATCTGCGCTCGCTGAACAAGCGCTTGGAGCGCCTGGAGGATAGCGAGGTTACTCTCACGGATAAGGAGATGCGGCGGTTGGAGCGGACGGCGGAGGTCGAGGGGATTGACATTGCGGCTGCGCGTCGGCTGCAGGAGGGATTCAGATATATCTTGTAATAGTCTGTTGAGTTTTGATATCTGGCAGCTTGTACCAAAGTTTGAGAATGAGTGAATCCCATACGATAATTCAATGGTTTATGTCGATGTTCGCGCAATGGCGGATTAATCCAGAGGAATCTAAGCAATACCAAGCATTTGTCTTTCCCTTTTTCATTTAAATTAAGACCTACATACTCATTCTTTACCCACTGGTCAGAGAAGAAACGTAATACAAAATCCTGCATCGCTATCTCTGGTTACTACCATGCGTGCCATGACGAGCTCTGTAGACCCCACCTACCCACCAAGCACGACTGCAACCATAAAGATTTGCGATAGCATACGCATGAATCCGGGCAACGCGGCAGCATGCATCACGAAAAGCTGCTCATCCGCTGAAGCTCTCCACGGCCTTGCCGAAAGCACAAGTGCCAGCTCTTCAACAAAGAGATTTGCCGCATGTCCCGCAGCCTGAGTTTTCTGGTCTATATACACACCAGCCTGCGCAAAGTACATGACTCATCTCCCACCAATGGCTTACGCGGAGTTTCACATTCATGTGGATGCATTTATGAGAATATGGCCAATCTTCTCCACGTCCCGTTAAACTGTAGGGTCATTGTGGTCGTATCCGCCTACCAGTATTTGTCGCGTCCTAGGTAAGATCCAGAAGTCCTCGGATAGCGGTTCGGACTTCGATGTGTCATGGCATCTTTTGTAGTCCAAGTATTTTTGTATGTGGCCGGGTGTTGACATTATATCGCCTGAGATTTGTATCGCGGTATGTGAAGCGTGGCGATTTTTAGCGAACGTGGTGGATCTCAGTAGGGAGGTTCATGAGGGGGCCACCGGCAGCATTTTTGAGCAGTGGATGGTGCGGGTATGAGGACCCTATAGGTGCTACGACGGACCGCCAACAGGGCCCAGGATAGAACTGTTGCAAGAATACCGTGCGACTGTCTGGCAACCTGAGATGATGGAATATATAGCCGTCGAACAATGTTACTGCCCATTGTTCGCGGTCGACGAAGAAGGCAATGCGACGAGTCACCGCGAAAAGAGAATCTGTACAGAGGAAACCGTCCATTGGATATGACTGGACGAGGGCTGGACTTGTCGACAAGCATTATGAAGCGGTGTAATGCCGAACTAGATCAAAAAATCTTTCACAAAGTCCTCGATGTGACCGAGATCTTGAATGATTCTTCAGTTCCCATGCTGGGCGATGGATCAGCGAAGCAAATGCCTATCCCCGGTGCTGCAAAGGAGGATCTGTCCCAAACCCCATGCTCCCAGCTATCCTCATCACAGGCGATTGATGGCTGATCTGTAATTGTCTAGTGTAAGATCTGGACCGATCCGAGGCGGTAAGTGGCTCAAATTTGTAGAACATGATCAATCAGATTGTGTTGCTCGCGATAGAAGTTCTTCGCGCAGGACTACGGCCGTGTGTGTACAAACTCCATTGCCTGGTGGACCCAATATTTGTGTCTAGAACTTTGATTGAACATAATGAGCGGGGACAACAATAAATGAAGAGCTTGGGTGATGAGAACGTACTGTATATGTAGCGGACAGTAATCGCCTTAGGTGTCAGTCCACAGCTAGAAATCAGGAAGAATCCAACGTTAGTCACCGACAATCCTCCCAAGCATACGAAGGCCCTACCTGGATATCACAACGCCCAGAAGCGAGGGGAGGAGGTTAGTAACGGTCAACACCAGGCCGTACTGAACACCAGGCCGTACTGGGCGGGAGGAGGAACCCGAAGGTCCTCGCTCTTCTCGTAGTAAGGGAAGAGGTTCTTCCAGTTCCATTTCTGGTGGCCAATCTGACCCGAGGCAGCGAGCTGGACGTCCTCAGCACGGCATTGCTGTATTTGTATGACGAGGAGGAATATATTTAAGGGGAGATGTAGAGGAGGTATATAGAAGATGGAGAATTGATGGACAGGAAAGGGAGAACGGCGGTATTTATGCTTCTGCTGCCTCATTAAGGCACAGGGAGAAGGAGAGCAAAATGGGGACTTGCAAAGAGGAAATGTTCAACAGTTGAAAGAAGTCTGAAATCCAACTTTCCTTCAGGCCGGCAAAGAGAATCGACACTAAGACCAGATGATGTGGGGGCAAATGTCTCTATGGAAAAGAGTGGGTATAGAGAATCAATGAATGCCTGCCTGCTTGCTTCACTCCAGATGCATGTACCCAGGTATCTTTCAGTCTTCACGTTGGGGTCCCAAATGACTGATGAAAGGCATCTTCTTTATCACTTAGACATCAAAGACCAACGAATGTCCGTCACATAGCAAACATGCGGGTTAAAGGGCTGTCTTGGACACTTGAAATAGATATTTATTTGTCTGCTGCAGAGCTATTATGACCAAGGCAAACATCGACTGATTCAATCAGTGACTTCGCCTGGATGGGTCATCTACACCGTCCGCGTCAAACATTGGAACATCTGCCAGTTGAGATTCCTGTACAAGGTTGTGTGCGTCACTAGCTCTCAATCAGTACTGGACCAAAATGTATTCAAGCAGATGACACACACCCCAAGCGCTCGTCAGGTAGCACCAAGGTAAGAAGAACAACGGGAACAGAGACCGCCAGTGCCGCATAACTGATGTAACTGTTCGGATCGTTAGCTGTATTCTAAGTCTACGGAGTGACGACGAACCCCATGACATCGGAGTACTAGTCAAACAGATCAGCAGGTGATGAAAATCAGCCAAAGGACCTAAAAGTCTTACTGCTTGGTTCACTGCCGTTCGCTCCAATGTTCCCCACATAGGTAAAGTTCCCGTGATGGAATTATACAACTGATCCAGCCTGGCGTTGTCAATGGTACTACCTAAGCGTACGTGCAGTCGCTCGCGGAGTTCCCCAGTATAGATCCCGCCAGCGATGGCAGACCCAATTGCATTACCCACGAATGAGCCCAGCATAACCAGCGATGTCACCTGAGCGAGTTCTGAATGCGTCACGCAGATCTGGGCTGCAACTATCGAGATTGTTTCGATGATCCCGCTGCCTAACCCCTGTACCAGTTGAACGATGAAAAGTTCCGCCAAGGAGCTTGTGTTTGTACGCAGGCGGATCATCAGCCCGTAGCCGATCATCCGGACAATGGCACCGGCTACAGCGATCCATTTGTAGCGGCGCAGGCGGTACATGAGCAGACCGATGCCCATCCCAGCGAGCGCCTGCATGACGCCACTTGTCCAAGAGAGAAACTGGGCATTACGAGGGGAAAAGTTATGTGAGACCATCGACCAGGCGTAGAGGTAGGTGTGTGTGGTGCCGAACCCAATGTTGTCGACGCAAGCAAGTGCCACCGGTACGAGCACGGACAACGTATGGAAGTAGCGTACAGGGATTACCGGATGTTTAGCAATGTACTTCTCGTAAGGATAGAGACAAGCTAGAAAGACAGCTCCCAAGACAATAAGGGCATCTATCCATGGTGTCTTCCATCGACCTGTTGTTGTGGCCGCCAAAGTGATGGGAATCAACAGCGAGGAGAACCCGCAAGTCAATATCGCAATACCGCCTAGGTCAATGTCCGAGCAGAAGCCATACAGACTTGGACGATGACAAACGATAGAACCGACCTTCTTTGCACGATGTTGAAACACAAGTAAACTGATGATGATGATACTGGCGCAAAACGGCATTAAAATGGCAAACATACCGATTCCCCATCGCCACCCAATGCCATTGACGACGCTGTCAATAATAAATGCTGAGATCCATGGGGTGACAAGAAACGGAAAGTATAGTATATTATAAACAAACCCTCTCCATCGCATAGAAGAGGTATCAGAAATGACAATCGCGTTTAGCATCGAAGTCCCAGCTTGGCCGAGAGCGTAAAGAACGCACCCACCGGCATAGGTGTCGAAGGATCTAGCTGAGGCGCACAGAATATAAGAGAGTACGTAGCAGGTAACCGTGATGATGTACGCTTCAGCTCTGCCTAAGACGTCTGACAATTTGGCGATCGGTGGTTTGCTGACAGCGGAAATGATACTCATGACAGTGTTCAATGTCGCCAACATCGGAAGCTGGTGGAACTCGGACGCTGCAAAGTTACGATAGGTGCTCACCGTGGAGTTGTCCAGTTCACTGCATCAATATGGTTAACGCTCATCCCAAATTCTCGATCAAAGAAAGTATGTACAAGACGGTCATCACCATCACCAGCCTAGGTTATATCAGTAACTTTCACACATAAACAGGCCTCATATGCGTACCCAGCATACAGAAGATATTTGCCTCTCGGACCGCTCACCGTGTCAATGACTTCAATCCCGGTGACGCTGGGCCCCTTTGGACACTCATCCTTTAACTCGACAACATCGTTATGAGGGTTGCCTTGTGCATTTTCCGGGCTCGACGATTGATCTTCGATCGGGTCTGTCTTTCTAATGATTATTGTATCGAGGCCCATCATTCTCTAGGTCTGAATCAAGGATCATACTATCTCTTTACCTATAGTATGACCTATTTGCCGGTGACGAGTGAGAACCTAGAGAAGATGCAAAATTGTGATCAATCAGAACGATAGAAAATGAGCCGATGAGGCCTATCAAAAGACAAGAAATAAAATCAAGAATTAATCCGGGCAAATGTGATGCAAATCGCCCGGTTGCGTTCACAGAGTGTAAGCGGTTCGGGAGTACGACATGCAATCAGAGTATTGATAATGATCAGCTTGCAGGAAGAGAAAAAAAGGTGTTCCAGCGAGGGGATTTTCGACATTCTTTTCAAAAGTTCGCAACCTCGTCCGTTCGAATCTTGTTCAAAGTGGCGGGTGGTCCCTCCTGCAAGGAGTTGCGGATGGAAGAAAGCCATGGATGCCGGAAGGAGCAAGTGACGCTGAGGATCGACATGGACTATCGATACATTAAGTGGCACCGCAAGCAAAGCACTGACTGCATCATTGCAGCTTGACCAACAAATAGTTGACTGGGACCACGGAAGCACATCATCCATTCAAGAATTGGACCATACGGTGCCTTTCTTCTCTTGGACCCTCTGCTGCCGTTCATGATTGAACAATGTACAAGCAACAAGAGGCCATCATGAAGCCCTACTTCTCTTCCAAGGTCCAAGAGCAAGGATCAAGATCTCCTCGAACCCAGGATCTGCTCATCAGCCCATCATAACTACATCTGGGTTTGAGTCAAGGCACAGGGTATGCGTCCAGGCCTCGAAACCGACTGATGCGGGATCACATGACCCACGCGGTACGCGTCCCACACTAACAGGCAAAGAAATGTGCTATCCCTGCAGGAGTCCTGCCGTTCGTACGGGGTAGGGTTCTGCGATCAGGACAAAATATGTCCACTGCTTCGAGAACAGGCCTTTCTATGGAGGAAATCAATAACGATTGTGGTCACTGAGAGAAACTGACCATACCAGCGGTGACAGTCAACACCCAATCCGAGAGAGGCACAATAACCCCACATACGATCGGCATCGCTTCTCTAAGATTTCTCTTATCTACGGCGGACTGAATCAACAAACCGGCCAAAACAAAATTTTTTTTTGTCACCCGCTTGTATTACCTATAGCCACTATTTCCACAAAGATGCTATCATAAAATAAAATTAAACCATTAAGTTCCTACTATATCGAATACGTTATATACCTACCCCGATCTTAGGCTCACCGACCCGTTTCCCGCTGACTCATCCATCGCCGCTTTGCTCCCTCGCTAGCAGGCATTATCTCCCCTGCTCTCCGTCTTACTCCCTCCAACTCCCGTTCTGCTCCCTTCTGCTCTCTTCGGCTCTCCCACACTCCCTCTAGCTCAGGTACGCCGTCCGACCCTGGTCCAGCACTGTCTTGCACGTCAACTTTAGACGATGGCTGCCAGGTGGTGCGTTTCAGCGCGCTCCCATAGGAGAGTGGGAGGAGTGAGGGGCCAGCACGGTCTCCCCGAGTGATGTCCTCAGGAGCATCATTGGGAAATTGATTACCAGACATGGGGGCGTTTGGTGGGTGTTATAAAGCCGGTCCCCGACTGGTGAGCTCTCCTTCTCCTCCTTCTACTTTACCTTTTCTCTGACTCTCTTCCCACAGCTTTTGGTGTCGCCTCGACTGCGTGCCTCCTTGCTTCGTCTCCCAGCGCTTTCCCTGCAGCGGATATCGTCCGTAATCGCCTGCTCTCCTTTTACTCTTGTTATTCTCTCTTTGGGGGTTTTCCATGGCCAGAACGAAGCGAACTGCAGCGGAGCTATTTGATGAGGCTGAGAGGAATGGGGCGTCGAAATCAGCTGACGAAGCCGGCGTCAATGGTGATATGGTGATGAGCAAGATTGAGCCCGGTACCACAATCAAATACGACCGCATGCTGGACCTCTGGGACGAGTACGTGGTTGACATCTCCGACGGTTTCTGGAGTTCGTTACTGACTGTTTGCGATTCGGTGAAACAGGCATGAGCTTCGAAATCCCGGCGCCAGTCCTTCCGATTTAAAGGCCGCGAAATATTTCATGTATAAATGTTGCGAGATCTGGAAAGCCGGCAAGCCTGACTTTTCCATGCATACTGCATGTCAGCGATGGACAGAGTTTGGCGCTGGTTTGAAGCGGCGACCTGGGAATGAGAAGATTCCTGGCGAAGTATCACAGTCGGTCCGAAATGTTTGTGCCCTTTCTGAATCCTCTGCCCTCACTACTTTCTGATGAGTGATTTCAGTATATCAAAGGTTCGATTACGAAGAAATTGGGCCTTTCCCAGGCACGACGAGAACAGCACTTCCTAACACTGCCCCATTTTGTCATCCTTATCAAGCACATGTGGCAGAAAGATTGGCACCGATACCATCATCCGGGAACCATGGTGTTGGACCATGCCGCATATATGCTTTTTATCTATACATCGGCGAGAGTGGGGGATATTTTCGAGTCAAGTATGCGTCGCGGCTCCGTGCGTGGATTACTGTATAGTGTAAGGCATGCTCGTCCTGTTGGAGATGGGGTATCCTACTAATAACCTAGATAGGATGTCGTCTTTGTTGTCTTCAAGAATGAGGCAGGAAGAGCAGAGATTGCTGTACGAGCCACTAGGGACGCCAAAGGCTTTACAAACAAGCCCCATAAAAGGTTCAACTGATCTTATCTTCTTGAGCCCCTTCAACTGTGCCTGAATACAGGATAGAGTTGTGTGCGCTAATATTTAAACTTGCATAGGCCACAGCATGCAATGTATGAGGATATGGAGCCGCTATTTGCAAACCCAGTCCTGCCGCTGCTCGCGATCGCACTCGCGAATCATGCCTTCCAAGACTACGACACTTTCGAGGCGATTGAAGCAATTCCTCCACGGGAAGATGGACTCTTGACATACATTCGCTTCAAAGAGGAGATGCAAGATGTGCCATTCTTCCAGACCCTGTCCTCCGACGGTCCCACAGGACAGATCCAGAAGGCGGACTCCTTCAATAATCGGAGTGTGCATCGGGGTCATCGAGCAGGGTATGAGGCAAATATCACCATGCATGCTGTTAGAAGGGAGGCCCTGGTGAAGGCTGATGGTAAGTCCGACAGGCAAGACATCTCTGCCCAGGTAGAGTGGCTGACGGCTCTTAAAGATCATGGCTATTCAACGGCGGAAAGAATGAAATTCGCCGGCCATGGGAACTCCAAAACCTTCTTTGGCTCATATATGCCTCCAATCAGCACGGTTGACGGTCAGTCGAGCTACTGGAACCGTCCGCGGCGCACTGATTTTCTTGAAGGATTCCGGGGCCTGTCGCTCACTTACCACCCGCAGATGTTGCGGTCCCTTCCAGCAAAAGTGGAAGCTGATCTCCAAGAACGGTCTGTCTTTGTCACTATCGACCAAGAAATTAAATCCCTTGGGGAGAAGATCCGGGCGCTAGGGTCGGAACGTGAAGACCGGCAGGAACGTACTCGGCGGGAGGAGCTGTACTGGCAGAAGCGCCAGATCATGTCAGAGGAGTTGAGCCGCTGGCAGGAAATCCAAACCCGCAAGGTCCCCTCAGATCCTGACGGCGAAGACTGTGCTGTTGCCGCTCGGTCAAGCTGGTTTCATCGTGTCCGATGGTTGGACCCGCCGCGTGATCGTCTTGCGGATATACTCTTAGTGGATTCCCCCCTCCGGAGTCCCCAAGGCCGAGAGGCCCTGGAATGTATGATCACCCTTTGCAGAGAGAATCCTACCGTCGCTTACCGTCCCAGCCTGCGGCCGACGGGCGGCTGCTGTGTGATCTCAGCATGTGCAATGAAGCTAGACAGGTCTGTTCCTCTTGTCATCTACCCTCCTTGCTGTTTCCTTTTCAACAATAGCTGTGTGCTGACGCTCAATAGCCTACAGCCAAACCGTAGATGGGACCACATTTACCAATGCTACCAGGCCGAGCTTCAGAAGACAGATGGCTTTGCTGAGTTATGCTTCCAGTGTGACACCTGGGTGACTGCCGCCGCCGAGTGGAATGACCATTGCCAGAACCACCTCGATGATATGGATACGCTTCCGGTTCAGTTTAACCCCCTCACCTTCCGTCACACCCTAGCAGCTGCTGGTCAATGCCTCTTCTGTCTCTTCAACCGGAATCTACCCTCCGACAGACGGTTCAAGCAGTACCTGACCAAACAGCACTGGATAGGGCATCTTCAGGGACATTTTCAGGAGTTGCAGGAGAAATTTCAGTCGGACCATGGACAAGATGAGACGAAGACACAGCCCTGTCCTGACCCTCGCTGTGCTTTGTCTTTCAACACTTTTTCTGAATTCCAGTGCCACTGCAAAGATATCCACTGTATTGATCGGATTACGATTGATACAGTAAAGCGGTGTCGCCGGATAAAAGGGAGTGCGGATGAGAAAGACAACTTCATCCTCTTCACTGAATGCAAGACTCGGCGTTGCTCTGAGCAGTGCCTTCCAGATGATCAGAATGATTTTGTCTCCAAAGCATCATCAGACGTCTCTCTAGGCACCCCTGTTGACGCTCATATTGCCGTTCATGTTAACCCATGTCTCGTCATGGATCAAGGGGAAAAGGCGGGCTTGAACTGTATTGATCCTCGACTTCGGGAGCCTGTGGTCTGTGGGACTGTTTAAATATAGTGTTCCTGGTCAGCATCGTGTACTATCCTTCTACTCTTTTCTCTTCTTGTCTTCCTTTTCTCCCTCTCTTTCTTTTATGAAAAAAAAAAAGAGAGGGTAAGAAATGGACTTATGAAAATCAATATCTCTTGGTTGATTCCTGCTTAATACCTACTTTATATAATATACTTTGTATAATAAAAGTAGGATATGTAGAGGAATCAAGCTGGGGCAGATATAAATATGCCTCTACAGCGTCGTCTTTAAAGATATAATTGGTCAGCGCATCGACCGTACCTATCCGAAATATTCTCTGATCTCTATGTAGCATGTGAGTATACTTCACCAGTTTAGCTGCGTCACGGTAAAGGGTATATAAATCAGAGATATATTTTGTCAGCTAACTCCTTACTGGCAAGCAGCACTACTCCCAGTCTATTGTAGTTGAAGGATTCAATGCAGTGTCCTAGAAGGCCTAAAATCGGATCGACCCTTCAGACAGCCCCGAGGAACATCTGCTAGGAAAATCCAATGGTAAAATTGAAGCTTTACTTCCACCATAGGTGCGCCCTTTTCGTCTGAGTATTCCAATCCTTCGCTTAAGATTGGAAGATCCCCGACACGGCGGGTCGTTGTGGCCTGCTCTAGACCTTTGTGGAAAACAAGCTCTATCTTGGGATCTTCGGAGTCTGGGTAATGCACTTGGGCATCGTGAAACCGATAGTCATGGTAAAGCTGTTCGAAGGCATCCTGCTCACGTATGTTAAGACAGTTGATACCCTGAAGCGGAACAAAGAGTGAGAAGGAATGCAGAGGTGCAAAAGCAGATGCAACTTATCAAGGAGCTTATTGACCGTCATTCTCAAAGCGCCCCAAAGCAAGCAATCAGTCAGCTGGCAAAGGCATGTGAATCTACTATGCATGAAGTCCTCATGCTTCGGCAGCAGATGGAAGAGCTTCATGCTGCTAATCAGCATCAAAAGTGAAAGGGAGAAGCCCCTAGATCTTTCATTGCTACAGCAGGCATTCTAACAGGTACTCAAGGCCAGCAGCTTGCTCAAGAAGCTGAGCAAGCATTAGGGGAAGTGCAGGAGCGAAAAAAACGAGCACCACCGCGGTGCAGTAACTGCCATCAGATTGGCCATATTAGGACCAGATGCCCTAGTAAATAGCTTCAGATTCATGTATATAGGTGCTTTTTTTCTAGAATTTTTAATATAATAGACGTTGCGGCATTCAGGGCAGAAATTCGGGGGCATAATGCAGGGGCCGCGCTCGCTCGGTGGTGGATTACGTTATCACGAAGCTCCCGGTTAGGGCTAGCGGCGGCAGAATTCCGCTTACGTGACATATGGTCTGAGGTCACTGAGGTAACTAGTTATCTAACGTAGTCAAACTAATATCAGAGAATTGGGCACTGTTATGTATGAGGTTATGACCAGAAATTCCTACAAGTTTAATCTTCATAAGAATCATGCTTCCTGAGCCACATGGCCGCCGAGGGAAACCCTCCCTAGCATAAAAGACATCTGGATTTGGCTAATAATTGAGAAATGCTGGACTCAGGGTGCCTATTAGAATTTAACTTGTCTAGTTGAAGCGTTGGATGCTGTCGTTTTGGAAAATGAGAACAAGGTCTCCAGAAAAGGCGTATTCGTAGCTGGGTTAGAATTGGCTGCCATCTCCTGTTGGGTCTGGAAACGGCGCTGAAGGACTAGGTAGGCTCTGTAAATCCCACGATATTTCCAACATAAACCAATGAGGGGTCAGAGCTTGGTTATGTCAGTGTAAATTCACTGGTGTGGGTAGCTATAAAAGTATTCACTTGCTGTTTGCTCCCGGTCTTGCATGAAACTGATGTGAATGTAGTGGCTGTGTGGCGCAGATAATACTCTGACATGGCTATAACCACTACTGTTCTCATTATTGATTTGATTTGATATGATTACCCCATTTAGTACACGTCGCTGCCGTAGCTGCGAGACCCATAAGACTATAGTACTTTGCTTTAATGAAAAAGTACTCTTATAGGGCGATGTACTGCAAAAGTGTATATACTATAGAAAAGGAGCATTTCAGTGTCTGTCCACATATGCGATCAATAGGAACAGAGAGAAGCAAGCACATCCACAAACTCGTATATATTCATATATTATCCAGATCAAAGGCAAGGAGGTATATATGCACGTCTATACATGCGCACTGGTCAATCAATATCCATCCCATCGCTATCAGTATCCATCGGATCCCCATCGCTCCCACTATCACTATCACTATCATCGATCACCATATCCCAGTCAATATTCCAGTCCTGTAGATTATTGACCGCGTCCCGATATAGCTCGAATAACTTCACAGTATTGTCATTGCTCTGGTGTGCCTGGCCGGGTTCCAGTTTGGCTGAGGTGGGCCGATTCAGGTCATAAGTTTTCTGCGCGGTGTCTTTGAGGAAGGCCTTGACGTCGGCTTGGACGCGCTCGTGCTCACTGCGGACCCAGTCTTTCCACAGGGCAGCAAGGCCCTGGGGTATATAAGCCTTATCGAACTCCCCATTTCGATCACCAACCGCAGCCGCGATGCCCCCGTCGTCGTCCAACTCTTTCAGTTTCTCGTAAATGCGGTTCGACTGCTTCACAAGAGTTTTCTTGATATCGGCGAAATAGTAGTATTTCCACGCAAGAATATGCAGCTTCATGACTCTGGCCACATCATCCCACCTACCCGCTTTGATGTAGCCATCCATCTGATTTTTACCGTAGAGAGCAATGTTTTTGAACCACTATAGTCACGCGTCGTCAGTGATATTTGAAAGCAAATGAGATGGGTGCATGCCTTACCCCTTGCTTGATCTTACTATTCAATGCGGACTCATACAGTACTATTTCCTTGGTGTAATGCCAATGGTAACCGGGGTATACCCTTCCGAGCTCGCTGTTGGCATTGAAGGCCACTTTTGAAGGTACCCACCATGTTTTAATGTATTGACACCAAGGGATGGTTTTCGTCTTACCCTTAGCAGGATTCGGATATTTTCGAGCGTTTGCATTGGCGGCACCGCCTCTGAGTTGGGACCACTGCTGCCCCCAATGATTGAAAAAGCGTTGGACCGTTTGAGCTTCTAGTACATGCTCACTATCATATGTGCGGCCGTTGTTCGCCGCAGCGACCCATGGTGACTGCGGCCGTCGTCGCTAGTTTGATCAAATTGAGGTTGGAACAGTCCTGAGGGTCTTCCGCGTCGTATGTCGCTACATTCGGGTAATAGTCCTTAACCAATTCCGAGGAGGACGGGTAGTTGCTGAATACAATGGTCCCGGTGTTGCCAGTATTGAATCCTTCGAAGTTTGGGCCCCCATTTCTGTCGCAGTAAGATAGCTTTTTCGAATTGCGCTTTACAAGGTTGCCGCGTCGGGCTAGTGTCCCATCGTTGCCATCGTCCTCACTGTCTGGAGCATCTGGGAGTTTGTTCAGATCACAATCCAGGTCAGCACTATTGTCACCGTCCGCGCAGTAAACCCCGGTGCTTGAAAAGGCACAGGTTTTGCTCGATTCACCCGGCACGTCAATCTGAGAGCCAGTCGTCGAACGTGTGCTCAAGTGCGTGGCAGACTGGTTTGTTTCCAGTTCACGTTTGGCTAGGGGGACGAAAGGGACGCAGTCTGAGAACAATGTCACTGGCGATGGATTCTTCCAGTTGTACGACTGACTGGTCCAGCCTGGGAGGCCATTGATGACAGCGAAGTTCACGTCAAGTTGCCCTGTCACATCAAACTGCATTCCTGCACTGCATTTGGTTGAGAGGGCAGCATCGTATCGAATCGATCCGGGCGTACTGAGAGCGATGGAAGTGTTCACATATTGCTGACCCCGAAATTGTACAGTGAGGTCCACTGCAATCGTGGGCCGAAAGCCGATGACCAAACCGCCACCTGCTTTGGCCTCAATATTGCCCTGTCCAGAGATGGGACCCATGACGGCGTCCAGACTCCAGTCGCCGGTGATAGAGGTTGGATTATTCCCAAGACCGACGGGCAGGTAGTACCGGAATCGATCGTGGGCGATGCTGATTTCTCCTGTGGCTTGGGCTGAGACATAGGCATCAGCCTCCAATCGTGCATCCATCTTGAAATACGGATTGACTGTGAAAATGCCTTTGATGTATGAATTCATGCCGAAGCCATCAAAGGATCCGATGGGAACCCATCCACTGTCAAAGTACATTCGGGCCCGGGCCTGAAAGCCGGCTCCCATCCGCATTGAAAATGATTCCTGATTGAAGTAGGAGTAGGCCTCGGAGAACTGGAAGTTTCTCAGGGTACCAATGAGTGTCATGCCCAAATCCATGGTGGTATTGAATTCTCCGTACACGTAGGCCTCTGCCCTCCCGTCTGCATTCTGACAGACACCCGTCGCTTCAAACAAGCACTGTTGAAATTCGTAGTGCTTCTTCAGGCCCGTGTTGCCCTGCACAAGGAGCGAATTAAAGCGTTTCAGCCAATCCTCGTTGGAATCCGACCAGAATCGGCGATCCAGTTGCCGCCAGTTGTCCGCGGTGCGCTTGACTGCGGAGTCGTGGGCTGCTGCAACAACCTCTTTCCAATAACCAGGGTGATTTGAGAGATCGGCACGGAAGTAGACCTCGCCTCCATCGCGACGGAGTTTGTGGAAATCGTAGTCGTAGTGAAAGTCGTATACCTTGTAAGCCGTCGGATGTCGTTTCTGCAGGCGATGGGGCATCGTCGAGTTACTGGACCGCTGGAAGCTAACGGCACGAACGTATACGTCTGGGCCGCAGTGGGCAGGCAGACGAACGACTGTGCCCTCAACTCCCCCAAGAAGGATATCTTCGCAGTTGTTGTCCTCATCTGTACCGCCGACACAGACAGCCTTGGCCCTCTGAACGCTGAAATCGTCCGGGTGGGTGTCAGGGCAATCAAATACTTCCAGATGTGACCCATCGCGCTTGTCAAAGCTCTGCACATCTTCGGCCTCCCCGACCATCACAATCCAGGTGAATGCCTTTTTGTCGGGGTCGGTGCCAGCAACATCGTGCGAGGTTTCATCTGGGGATCCGTCAAAAACCTCCGCGAAAGTGGTAGTGTAACTGTCCGAGAATGAATCCGCCGTCGGGAAGAGGTTCTCCAAGGAGACAGGAAGGAAGGCAGAACCATTGCTCAGAGGAGGAGGGCAGCAGAAAGCTTGCTGGCGACCTTTGCTGCAACCAAGGTACCATTCGGGGAGGCCTTCGTGCCAGCCATGCCATCGGAAAAGTTCAACTTGGCCCAAGGGGCATTCGTTGTCATTGCAGTAAGTTCTATCCCCATGCCATCCGCACTGATCCATATCGTAAGCCGGTTTTTCTGGACAGCAGAATTTCCTCTTGACTTGATACATAGAACCGTCTAGATCGTGCTCGCCTTCACCCACTGTGGTCATCTCCTGTGGTTTGTCACTGGGACACTTATTGCTGTATCCGGTCAAAATACAGTCTTGGATGGCCTTCTGACCGTTGGTCGCCGGACAGCACCACACTTTCTTGCCTCCGTTTGTACATCGCTTCCCACTATCGCCATAGTCATCTAACACCATGCTCACTTCCCCGGCGGCACACTGGCCATGGCAATTGATCGGTCCTCCTGTCCAATAGCAGGTAGACGAGTCCGGGGCATTCCGTGCGGGGCAGCACAACGATCGAGCATTATGATCTTTACCATCGCATCCACGCCCGCTCGCATCCTCGTTAAGCTTCGTCATGGTAATATCACCGGTCCTACAGCTCTTTCCGCACCCGGTGATGTAGCATTCGTCGAGCTTGAAGGCACCAAAGCCGTCATCTGCCATGGGAATCGGTTCAACGTCCTTGCCAGTAACGCCACGCAGGGCATGATAGTACTCATCATCCTGATCGATGGCCCAAATAAGCACACCTCCGAGGCCATACTTGTTGGCCAGGTCGATCTTGGCCTTGAATGAGATCGCATTATCAAATGAGACCCAATTGGCACCGCCTTTACCATATGTCAGGTAGTAGACACCGGCCTCCTCGTCATATGTCGGATATAGGTCAGACTCGGAAACGATACCCTGAATTTCCTTATATGACAGAATACCTGCAGTGTCGGTGCACTGACCCTTAGGACCTGGATCCTTCCATTCACATCCAGCCGTGGCACATAGCGGGGTAGACAGTGTGTATGTGCGACCATAGAACTGTTTCCGATCCTGGTGTATCAGCACAATTCCAAGCATACATGAATGATGTACTAGAAACATAACCGATATGACGCGCGAGTACTTACCGCAAGACCCAGGTTGATCTTGCTGGGGTCGATGTCATTGCGCCAGAACAGATCAAGTGCTTCATCTATCTCAGTCAAGTTTGTGTGGGCGTAGACATACGGACCGATGGGATCTTCCCGGTCCCATCGGCCGTGGAGATCGTAAGCCATGAGATTAAACTCATCAACCTCCTTCTCCAAGGCGTTAATGTCGAACCAGCGCAGATACCAATAGGACGTGGGCACGGTAATAGAAAGCCCCCATTTCTTGGAATAATGATTTCCACCTTGAAGAGATTCCTTCAGGATGCTCAGCATTTGAGGATAATTCTCAACATCCTCCTTGCTGCCACCCCGATCATCTGCACCAGGGTATTCCCAATCCAGATCAACGCCGTCAAAGCCATATTTATCCAGGAACTCCATGAGCTTGTCGGCAAAGGTCCGAGCTCCCTGCTTGTCTTTGGCCAATTTCGAGAAAACCGACTGGTAATCTCCCGGGTCATTGAAAGTCCACCCACCAATACTGACCCAGATCTTTGCAGCAGGATTCCGAGTCTTGAGATTGGCAACTCGTGCGTATAGGTCCGTTGCCAGAGTCTCATCGTCCATAGCAATGATGTGGTAGTCCTTCGGATCTATATAGAGGAATGCGAGGTTGACTTGGTCCAGATACTCAACAGGAATCTCCTCGGGTGTCATTCCACAGCCATTGGCGGGATTCGCTCTCCACGACTCATAATAACCGATGACTTTATTCCGTACATCTCCATTGACACCCGGGGATGGTTTGTCTGGGTCTTGGCAATTGGATTGACATCCTACGGATGAGCATTGGCCCTTCAGTTAGCGCTGACACTTCTCTGAATGTCCCCAGCGCAGGCAACATGGTATGGGAACTACTTACCCGAGCCACAAAAGTCCTCCGTTGTTCCTAGAGTGCTTTGTTAGCTAGCAATCAGGGAGCCAGATGGGGCAGCAAGGAAGAATATACCGCAGAATCCAAATTGACTGTTGGATGGAATATCATGTACGCTGTCAGCCATCTATTCGGAAGACATCATAGGGAACCAGTCAAAGGAGACTGAGCACGGCAGTTCCACGAAGCTTGCTTTTCCCAATCCAGTCTACATCGAACTGCCCTGGTGGAACTTAAAACGGACTCACCTGCAGCAGATATTCAGCGGACACAATTGTCCCGGAGTGGCAGCGTCTCGACCGCACTCTGCTTTGGCATCGCAATTGGATTGACATCCTGGTCCTCATCAGCCTTATTTCTTCAAGAAGAAGAAGAAGCACAGGGCGGTATTTCTGACCGTCACCACAATAGAGATCTCCGTAACTATGTTATCTCGTCAGCTCTGTAGGCCTTCACTGACTGCCACCGGACCCAATGCTACGTACCCGCATACGTTATTCGGACCACAGCAGGCCTTGTTCTTACATTCCCGGTTTGGTCCGCAAGTGTAGTCGTCCTCACTTGAGCTCGCCGCTCGTCTCAGTAAAGGATTTCCTGTTATCACAGGGGAAGTCTGCTGGGGCCTATGCGAGGAAGAAGATGGAACATGTTGGTGTTCATGATGGTGAATCCGGTGTCCATGGCCACCATAAGCAAAGGCTGCTGAAATGTGAATCAGTAGCGATAGCCACATGACAGGGAACACCTTCATCGTGAGTCTCGAGGGGAAAGTCTCAAAAAGGCTCGATCCCTCGCCCTCTCTCTGTTTTTCCGTTTTCTTTTGCCCTTGGGCTCCAATGTCCGTCCGTTGCGTGCGTTATTATATCTGGGCCCATTTTTATTTTTATCTCATTTGCTCTATTCCAATCTCGACTATTTTGTTATTTTACTACATCTTTAGTCTTTTTCTTTTCCTTTTTTCCGGTTTGAGCTAGTATTGTCACTTCGTGCTGTCCGAGGCCAATTTCTGGCATCCATCGGAACCGTATTCAACGGCGGCTTTAGGTCCGCATTAGCCTATGTCTGAGGCGCGGAAAAGTCATTAAGGGGTCAATAGTCAATATTTAGGGAGTAGTAGATACTTGGGACTCGAGTGATATGGCCCCTGAAGAACCACTGACGAAGCCAATGGCCATTTTAAATTCCTCAAGGGTTGACAGCCGATGTAACTTCGGGCGAGACCCACTGGGTTCCTCTGGTCGTGAAAACTCATGATACTAGTCTATGTTTTACGGACAACGGAGGCTTCGGAGTATTCTATTGTTCGGACAACTCCCTTGTTCGGTCCAATGTTGGTACATATGTGAACTAGCGCCGTTCGAAGTTTCATTAAGTATGAATACATGGCAGCAGGGCCTCCGCTCAAGCGAGGATGGTGTATTCGACCATTTTCTTGAGGAAGATAGCACAAAAGTCCTCAGGTGCTCCCTTCTTGTTCTTCATCATTAGCCGTTAGAAGAAGAAAGGCAGGAAAAGATGCGGCAGCGCTATCAGCTTTTGGTCCTGCTGAGCTTTGGGGCGCAAATATGGGCGCAACAGATGCCGCTCTTTACAGCAGATGCACTTCCGCCCCTGTCCCCGGAGTGCATTTCTGCATTGACGGCGAATTTGTCATGCACCTATCTGGAGACTGGTAATTCAATGTATCTGTTAACCACCGACATAACAATTGAGTTACTTCAAGAGATGTGTACCGACCAATGCAAGAGCTCGATTGCATCTTATCGACAAGCTGTTGAGAGTGCATGTGCCCATGACGAATACGACGATTCAGGCAACTCTACCAGTGCTGTTGGTAGTTCTGGAGTCTATCGGCCCATTGTGCTGCCAGACTACTACTTCACCAACTATAATCAGCGATGCCTTCTAGATGCTGATGGTAACTATTGCTTATTCCATTTGCAATCCACCGATAGCCAGGATGAATGTGATACGTGCGGGCTTCGAATGTTCCAAACAGAGTTGAGCAACAGCTATTTCTACAATGATGACCTGGCAGAGCAATACAGCTCATTGACTTCCAGCTGTGGGGTTTCAAATCTGGACCTCCCGACCCCTACATCTGTTGTGTTGTCGAGGTATGGTTCTTTGCTTTCCACTCCTTCTCAGACCTCAGCTCCTGTGCAGGCTTGTACTCGCATGTTCTAAATCATAAGGTCTAGCTCATCTGCGAGTACTCCTACTCCAACTGCTTGCGCGGATCGAAGTGCGACCATTCAGCCTGGTGATACCTGTGACAGTTTTGCGGCGGCAAACAATGTTAGCACCTGGCGGATGCTGATAGAAAACGGGCTCCAGGGGGGGCTGCGTGGATTTTCCCAGCAGTGGCGAGCTCTGCGTCACAGGCCACTGTCAAACCCATCTGGTCACAGCCCAAGATACATGCATGAGCCTGGCCTCTCAATATGGAATCACCATCACACAGCTCATTACCTGGAGCTCAGTTTTGAACTCTCTGTGTAGCAATTTCGACGTCGTGGTTGGTCATCAGATCTGCGTCAGTTATCCGGGCAATGCCTCTTCTGAAATCAATACCTATGCTTCGGCAAAATTCGGGGCTACGGCCAGTGTAGCAGCTCCAGTACCAACAGATGTCGTTGTTGGGACCAACGTCAATTGTGGAAAATACTATCAGGTCAAGGGTACGTCCTCCTACTTCATCTGGTCTTGATCTCTCGATTCACTACTGACGCATGCTCATAGAGAACGATTACTGCCAGGCGATTGCTATGGCGCAGGGCATTTCTCTTTCTGATTTCTACTTCCTGAATCCGGAAATTGACGGAAATTGCACTAATCTATACCTCAATTACAGCTACTGTTCGTTCAGCTCTCACCCTCTATGTACGTGGCTCGCGTTTCCAGCACTGACACTGATTCACCAGGCGTCCAACCGGTTGGGAACATTGAGACATACCCTGGGTACGCGACTACTACTACAACTGGGGCCTCGCCGACGACGACAACAGCATGGTGGGGAACTCGTGTGGCATGGGACGACTTACCTATTGCCACCAATCTCACTTCATGGGTTCCAATCGTTACTCCTACGACCGCCCCTCTGGCGAATAATACCAGACTCGATTGTGATGAGTATACTGACAATACCCTCGGGTCGGTCCCGTGTGACTGGCTAGCATTGGGTGTAGACATCGCAGACTTTGCTAGCTGGAATCCGTCAGTGGACGTGTATAACTGCTCTCTGGCCAATAATACACGACACTGCACACTCTTAGGATCCGGATACGATATCAGCAACTTGACAGTCGACCCGAACTCGTACTATGCGGACGTGCCACCCGACGCAGCAGTCAACTCGACGCACGACTGCTATACTTGGTATTACACGTCCGAAGGTCTGTTTTGTCTCGCTCTATTCTAGTGCCAGACGCATGCTCATCAATATTGGTCGTCCTGCAGCAACCTCATGTGAAGATATTCTTTCTTATGCAAATATCTCCCTAAGCGCATTCTATGCTTGGAATGTAAGTGTCTATGATGCTCCCTCCTCCAACCTGACATTCTCACTCTTTCTTTTGCTTACTTTATCCAGCCAAGTGTCAAGAGCGACTGCTCGAACATTTGGCTGGATGTTTCCTACTGTATCTCCGGCGATGGCTACGATGACACGTACTATGCTGGCAGCACTACTTCTTCAGCCTCCTCGGTTCCCACCACTACCGCTTGCGCAAGTGCCACCGTGACGGCTCCGGGGCCTACTCAGACCGGTATTCCGTGCGATTGTAATAAATATGCCCAGCAGACCGATGGTGCGTGTCCATACAACACCTATGCTCTGCTTTACTTTTCTACTCACTGCTCTCATTAGGGGTCTACTGCCAAGATATGGCGAACGAGAATGGAATCACACTGGACGAGCTCTATAGCCTGAACCCAGCTCTGAACGGGGATTGCAGTGGACTGTGGGCTGGTTATGCGTACTGTGTTGGAGTCCCAGGCGTTACCACGTCTAGCCCTGCTACAACCACGACCGAAAGCACACCCACCACCACCTCGAGTACAGCTTGTGCCACGGTGACCCCACCTGGGCCCACTCAGTCCAACATCTCCTGCACTTGTAACAAATACCTGATGCAAGCCGATGGTGAGCCCACAATTCCTTTCGTTCGACCCCAACCTTTCTAAACGAACGTGATCCATGTAGGGGTGTATTGCTACGATATGGCTGCCGAGGAAGGAATTACATTGGACCAGTTGTATGAGTGGAACCCAAGCCTGAATGGGGATTGCAGTGGACTATGGCCGGGCTATGCATACTGCGTTGGGGTTCTGTGAGGTTTCGCCTACTGCTAATCTAACCACCCTATGGCAAGGGCATAGGACATAACGCCAAGTCAAACGATTGAGATTAGTCAAGGGATGCACCTCAGCAGGTGTTGAGAACCATTAATAAAGATAAATATTAAATACAGTTCGAATCACTGTGGTAGAGCCTCTGGTGATAAAAAGCTGTACTGTTTCCCTACCCTTATAAACATAAAAATAAAGGGCCGCACTAAGGACACACTCCCCCAGCTTAACGGCACAAAATAAATAGAAATCCCCTGATTCCCCTGTATACAGGATGTAATATATAGAAGCCTTGTTTTACAGTTGAAGCAGTACCTGTACTAAGGTATTACCTTAGTTTAGCTCAGGGCCGGTGGCTCCAGTTTGTGTCTCATGTTTTATGCGCTAAACCTAATTGGTTCCCCCTTGTGTGCTTTTGTCCTCTCCTAGGTACCCTCCACTCGCCGTCGGACGTACATCAAAACTGGTCGAGTGTTAACCAGCTGCTATGAACCACTCCTCGTCCAACCGATATGGCAGCCTCACTCCCACTCGAGCTTCTGGCTGAGGTCGCAGGCTATCTCAAAAATGAAGGCACTTCGCTAGTTGCATGTACAGCCGTCTGCCGTCACTGGCAGGCTGCGTTTGAGCCGATCATCTACTCCAAATTGAATGTTTACAGTGAGGACGGCATCAACGGGGAAGGGGAGTTCCGTGGGATTAGCCTCAAACAATTCCAGGCACTCACTGCTGGGCCAGGAATCGCACGACGAGCGTGGGTTCGTCAGCTGTGGTACCATATCGTTGTCCCCTTTGCCCTCCCCGACTGGATGTCACGTAAGGAGGGCGATTATAGCGCCGATAATGCTGTTCGACGGGCAAATGACACTGCCTTTCAGTCAGCAGTCATCGATCTTTTTAAGACACTAGAGTCATGGGATAAGAGTCATCGTCTGTCTGTCTATCCGGTACTCCTAGGGCGTGAGCCAGGCCAGGAGCCGTCTACAGAAGAGGATGACGAGGCTGGACTGTATAACTGGAATACCGCAGATTTCGGCGTACGGCCTGTTCCTGTGTATCGCGCGCGATTCCATGATAATGGTGCAGCAATGCTACACGATGTTTCATGTATTGATAAACTATCGTTTCATGGCACTATAGAGTCACCACGCTATCACCAGATATGGGCTGGAGCAGCTATGCAGATTGCTCAGCACTGTCCGACACTCACAGAACTATGGTTGAACTTGGATGAGTATATCAGACCAGATCATCTGGAATACATAAAGGAACGGCGTCAAGGTATGAGGCTTTCATGTTTATCGGCACGACCCGGCATGTTTTTTCAGCTTCGCTAATCTTCTGGCAGCTGTGTCTGAAGGTCTGAAAGGCATTTCTTCCACATTAAGGGTCTTCCGGTTTGAAAATCAACATGAGAGCAATTGGAAGGAGACCATGCCCGCCTTGAATGTTCTATCTTCAAGCGTAGATTTCCTATCCATCAGCATTCGAGATCTGAGTCTTTCCCTTCGTGAGCTGACACTGGATCAAGTCCCTCTTTATTTGGATTTTCTGTGGCCTCTGGATGAGAAAGACCATTCACTACCGGGTAATACATCTTTGCACTGGCCCAATTTGGGAAATTCTGACTTTACATCAATTTGAGCCCTGGCTTCCTTCAGGTAAGAGATTTTCCACAAACATTCATATTCTTATATGGATTTGTAGATGCAACATCCCAGATACGCCTACATCGCTAACTCTCCCAATATAACAGGTGAATGGATCGTCCGCCCTACTCCAGAGGATGAAGCCATGATCGCAGCGATCGATGACTGGGAGGCAGAAATCTGCGACTGTGAAAGAGGATTCATCGAGCGACCCATCCTCGACCAAGAGCAGTTCCATCGACTATTCATCTCTTTGGGTTACGCTGCAAGGCATATGCCTCGCTTGAGGGCCATCAACTTCGATCTCAATCACACTCACAGTTTCGAATTCAGGTTCTCAAACAAGATAGGCACGATCTGCGCCGAGTGGGAGCTATGGGACCCCGATTCATATAGACCTGATGATCGGGTTGTTGCCGCCTGGGGCTTTTCCCGCAATGATCTGGTCGTCACAAGTTGGGGTTACCAGCTTGTCGCAACTGATGACACTGGCTGGCAGATGAAGGGTATATGTGATTCTTAATCACTTGAAGATCGGCATTATCGACGTACAGTCACCTGGGAGCTATTTCTGGGGCAATCAAGTCTTGCGCGGTGACTGTCGTTTCGGAGGCGAGCGTTGCCTACGCCGAAGATCTCTTCAACTTGTTCGTCGGCTCATCCTTGAGCATCTTGATGACCCCGAGCAGGCGTTTCCCTCTATTCGGAAAGACCGATGTTGCAGTAATTGCCACACTACGTACGACTTGGTGATCTTGGAGAGTTTTATGACCGGGATGGGGCGGCAGATTCCACCTACCGGTCCCATTCGGAACGTTTTGAATGACATAGAGAAGCGGACCCTCTGGAGGCCATCTAGCATGAAGGTTAGACTGAGAGACGAGCCAACATGGCATTGTGCAACATCCCAGACACATGTACTTGTAGCCAAACACTTGTAGCTACAAATCAACCTCGGATTGAATAGAAGAAGCAGCTAATCGGATAATGTGTATGAATACGTTAAGTACCGTCTATCTAGTATACCATGTTTAAAACATTCATCATAAAGCAGCTCAACGCCGATTCACATACCGCCCCAACTCAATCTCCCTATCCATCTCATCATACCTTACCACAACGCGGGTAGTCTTCCTAATCTCTCCTCGTCCCGGCGATCCTGGGTCCGCACCCTGCCCCCTCACCCTCTCCGCAACACTATCCCGCTCCTCAGCCGCAACAGTCACATCCGCCGACCCCGACCCACCCTCATCCAGCACGCTCCACCCCTCGATTTTCTTCGGGGTGGAGTCCACCGGCAAGCTGCGGTTCCCATGCGAGCCCGCCCCCGCGGAACTTGCGCAAATACCCCTGGCTTCTAAGCAAACATGCAGCTATCTGATGCAATTCCCGACATGTTCTGAAATCCTCTGTATATGACCGCTAGGGGTGTAATCTTGAGACAGTGTTGGACCAGCGAGAGCTACTGATATGTAGGGATATGTTTAGAACAGACAGTTTATCATCAATTACTGCAGTGGTAGAGTAAAGGACACCTTAAGTATAGACTATTGAACTTCGCGATAACCAACTGCTTCCTAGTACCTGAATCCTTGTACGGAAGATCTATGATGGCTTAGCCTGCACATCCTTATCTACCCTTATTCCCTTACCATCACTGTATAATGGGCAATTCACAGCTTGTCCAGAAATAAAATTTCCGCGACCAAGAGACGATGTTTGCCATGAATAACTGAGATCTTGATGCCGTCCGGAAGATCTAGCGAATGGGTTCCCCATCTTGGAACAAGTCACTCTCTCCCGTATTCTGGGGGCGTAAAGATTTGGTGCAAAACTTCATCACTAATTAACATGTTTACGAATTTGTCCGGATTGAGACAAGGCAGCCTTCGGATACAAATATATTCAAGAGAGCGTCAATATGACTTTGACAGATCGCTGAACGCCCAGAATGGCCCTATCAAACTTGACGTGACGTAGCTGAATTTTCGCTATTCGCCGGTACCAGTTCAATTTTTCCGAGAATATCGCCTGGTCATTGACATGGTTACAGGTTTCGTGGATAAAAACACTGAAGCATTGAGAGGTGCAAGGGAAGATTACAAGACCAGAAAATATTAACATGTAATATGATAATATTCAAAAACTTAAAATCAGCGATTGAGAATATTATCCTATGGAAGATATTAGAAGATGTTAATATTACCACATTCATAATATAGCATCGCACATAATGTCAGATGATGTTAATGTTATCAACTTCATAATATTACCGCACGCATATTATCAGATAATGTTGATATTCCCAGCAGATAATATTATCAACGTGATAATATTATACCCGCTCGGTGTTATCGCGGATATAGTCAGAAGTGAACTTTTGCCCTTATTGTCCTTTCCGCATGCGCAGATTATGTACTACAGTACGACGTGTAAGAAATATATGCCTGCTTAAGCAAGCCATCACACCTGGTCCTCCATAGAATCCTTCCAAAGGAAAGGACATGCGGCATCCACAGGCCAATCCTTCCACTCATTTAACTGAGCGAATATGCATGAATAATCCTTGATCCCCACATAAAGGGTCTGGATGAACCCCGTAATGAGATAACACGGATAAAAGAAAACATACATCGTATACTCCATAAAATCACCAAAAAGCAAGAGCAATACGAAGGGTACTGGGTGTGATGATCGGCAGATCAGATAGAAAGGATGAATGTAATCGATTCTTATTTGAGTCCTATCACGAGAAGAACAAAGGTGGAGAGGGAAGGGAGAAGGTGAGAGGACCGAAGGTGGTGGTGGGTGGTATGAGACCTCTACTAACCCTAGCCCTGAGCCCTGAGCCCCTTCCCTTCCTAATGCAGCTAACTACGTGCAAAGGAGACTACATCAGAGACTACAGAGTCAAGCGCGGTGTTGCGCGCAGGGTCATCACACTGGGAAAAAAAAGCACGGTTAGAGAAGCCACTGATCTGCCAAGGACGTGGGAGAGGCAATTATAGAGCGCGAAGAGGCAGGCAAAGAACGCGAAGAGGGAAAGCGCCCTAGAATAACCCCTGCAAGCGCCATTAGGAAAAATGAGAGTACGAACGGGGGGTACTGGCAGGCCTCCCCCGGTGCATCTCTGTGTGTTGCCGTAGTCTAACGGACCGTGAAAAAAAACCTCCTGGAAGGGGTGGATCCCCCCGCTTGCGTGAAGGACCAGGCAGGATGCTATTGAAAGCGCGAAGAAGCGGACGACAGGGCTCATGATTATGTCCAGACTCTGCGATAGGATGGGAGCGCGACGGTGCCCCAAGCATATCGTGACTCTCTAGATCGAGGGGCTCCGAGCTGGGTTTAAAAGTCTGAAGCCTGGAAATCGCAGCGTGACACCGAGAGTCAGGAGGCCGACCAAGGTTCCACTCGCGGCGAGCTGGAAAACCTTCTCGTCGATCAAAGCGATGGAGTCAGGCCCGTGTGTCTTTCTGCGGTGGTATAGGAGGAGCGAGAGGCTGCACTGGACGAGAGATGCAATGGTGACGAGGACTCTCCCGAGGCGCCTGATAGCTCTTTCCCCCAACTCATTGCCACTCTCTCTAATTTGTCCTGATTCTAACTCTGATTGTGACCCTGGCCCTGGCTCTGTTGATGGGTCCTCAAATTTGGCGATTAGCGACTTCACAGGACAGATCAGGTCTGTTTCGATGTTTGGGTATCTCCGGTCCTTGATGCAAACGAGCGGGATGCGCAGGATGAGCGTCGCAGCTGCGATCACATGCTGGGCGATGAAACCCAGGGGTGCGCAGATATAGAAGATTGGTCTAAGGCTTAGGAGGTATTCACCGCGGAGGTTGAGGAGGTGGAAGAAGGCGCCTATTGTTGTGAAGTGGACCACAAAGAGCTTAACGAGCAACTGAGTTGCGACTGTGGACCCAACATCGCTTAGCACCTTTCCCTTTCGCATGCGAATGATAAGAGATTCCTTGAATTTGGGCTCTCAAGGGTTCAATGCGCCCTTTGACTTAAAAGATGAATGCGCATCTTTCAAGGAATCTCGTATATCAGTGTTTCGCTTAACCTCATTAAATTCTTCAGCAGTGAAGATTCGCCATCGATAATAGCCATGGACTCGGGTGAGATTCTTATTTTGATTGTTCCAGGGTCGAAACCTTTGCTGCTTGTATGCTTCATACGCCCAGTCCTTGTTCATCGCGGACTCTACACCCTCTTTCACGTCCCAGCCATAGAGTCGCTCATTTAAGCTGCCCACTAGTTTTCTGGCTGTCAAATCTTCTGTCAGCATTAGCTGCATACTGATAAATACGTCACTCACTTATATTTGGGAAGCTATTGATTGCCTGAAACAGAGCGTATCTAATATACGTCGCCAACGGCTGCGTTTTGAGCATGCGTTTATCAAGAGCGCTACCCAGAGCAGCAATTCTCTCAACTCGTCTGTGACGCATATCATAGTATGTTGACAAAGTTCGCTCAATGGTAGTTGACAATGAATCGCTATTCACATCATCAGCACGAAACTTTCGAATCATATTCCTTAGAAGCAAGACGAGGGTTTGCGCGTCTTCCAAACTCTGCGACGCCCCTTGCCCCGTGATAGGTGACATGGCATGGGCTGAGTCTCCAACCAAAACAATTCTATTTGCCCCCCACATCGGTAACTTTGGGAGAGTTTTGATGCCATATACGTGACTTGGCTCCGCTTCAGCGATGATCTTCCCGATCAAGGGGTCCTCGCAGTTTCTCTGGCTAGCAAGCTGGGTTTTAGGATTACCGTGGAAGGGCTGTCTTCCGGGAAAAATAGACAACCAAGTTAACATGTGTCGGCTGCCTGTAGAGTAACAGAAAAGGCCGCCCTTGCCAATCGTGAAGACCATGGCATCCTTCCTCTCGTCTCGTCCTGGAAATGATTCAAGATCCATGCACCCGCCAGCCCATGCGTGGCCACTGGTCAACGTCAGTCTAGGAGATGCCTCCGTCTTCTTCTATGCCATGCCTACCTGTACCGCGGACAGAATTTTTCGGTTCCGAGCAGGTGCCTCCTTACGACACTGTTTATGCCATCCGCTCCGATGACTAGATCCGCCTCGTCTTCGCCAAACTCACCTAATTTTACAACGGCTTTCCCAGTCTCCCAACTATGTCTGATGACTGTGACCTCGCGATACGTGACGACATCCCCTGCTTCCGCCATCAAGGCTTTCCACAGAGCGTCTCGACCAATAGAAATGCAAAACTCGTCTTCGCGTCGTCCCGTTCGTATTTTCCCCAGTGGCACTCCATTTGCATCTTGAAACAGGAAGTATTTGCATATGGAACCCTCGCGGAGAACTCTGTCCGTTAACCTGGGCCCTAAGTCTCTAAGCACACGTAAGCCGTTGGCAGAGACTCCCAAGACTGCCCCCTGTCCGCTCGATGTTGTATGAGAGTGTTCATAATGGGGAGTTTGAGGCTTCTCGTAGACCCGTACTTCGTTTGCAAATGGAAAATATTTCTTGAGAAATAAGTAAGTAGCGAGACCGGAGATGCCGGCACCCACGATAATGATCTTCATCTCGGTCAGTATGGAAATGGCGCTGATGGATCATGCCTGAGTATCCCGAGGATACTGGTTTATAAGCATGATAACTTCTGAAGGTGCCACGCTTCTGAACCAGGCCGCATAAACCGTGGCTTCTTTCCAACCGCTATCATTTTCTCTGGCGATCGAGCCAGAATTTGAGAAAGATAGGGCGGCTGGAGTGGTAAGTGAGCCAACTGAAGCAGAAAGAGGAGCTCATTGGCTCTGTGCACGCAAAGTCGTGTGCTTTCTTGGAAACTCATGATGCTGCCGCCCACAGTCTGGTCAATGCATGCTAGTGGTCAGCAGAGGTACCTCAGTCCGCAGAAGGTACTCTATATCACTGTCGTTATACTGGTTTCGTTGTAATCTTGCAGAATGAATATAATTCCCGCAACATCCTAGCACTAGTCCTGTTGACATTACTATTCAGAAAAGCCAGCAAATGATGAGGAGCGAAGACGCTTGACATAGGTGCACGGCAGCTTAGGATTCGGATTCGGATTCGGATTTACTCATACTCCGTCCCAGCCACTCATGAAACCGTGGCTATGCGGGAACTGCTCCACTGCCTACTTGGCGGCTTCGCAGTTGGCTTCGCTTATTATGTACATATTTCTGCCTTCAATATACACTTAAGTTGAGGGCCTGGCTCCGCCCAAGCCTGTGTCTGGGGGTTCCCCAGGCCCTCTCTTGACCCTTCACTGCTTTGTGCGCAGAGCTCTTCGATGAAAAGATGAGTCCAAAGGAACCTGTTTCAGTCAGCCTGTCAGTTGCCATTTCATGATCTCTAATTAGCAAATTGTCACTAACATCCCTTTAGATCCTTCTTGTAGAGCTTTGGATATCGGCATGATGAGCTTCGGATCCCCTAGCTTCAGCTGCTCCTCTTCCAGGCAGCGACCCAGAATCATGGTGATATAGTGATCCATGTCTGACTTAACTTTCCTCTCAGTCACTTGGATCCTATACTTGGGTGTAATCACTCTCCATAGCTCTTTTTCAAGCTCGGGGCGGCCCGCACAGAGAATTTTGATGTCACTAATATGCTTGTCGCAGAGTTAAGCCAGGCTCCGCGCCACCATTTGAATATCGCCCCTATCACATTCATCGAGACCATCGAGAACTAGATAGTACGTCTTGCCAACCTGAAGGTGAGACAATAAGAAATCAATGACCTTAGCTGTGTCGAGGTCACGACTATCCTTGTCTATGGCGCGTAGACTTTCATGTTCGGCATTCTCGATCTGGGAATCTAATATTTGGCGAGTGAGACTTCCCAGAATGCTCCTTGCTGACAGGGTTGGCGCATCGTCGGCGCGACAGAAGTAATAGGATAATGTCGTTGGTTTTGCGTGACGCATGCAGTTGGGCTACTATATTAGACATGAGCACTGTCTTACCCACACCCATTGTGCCTGAACACCAGAGGATGGCAGTATCCCGGTCGTCCTTCTACTGATGAAAAAGGGATTCCTGCTGCAGCCACTCGGCTGTGGAGGGAACACGTTGTTGCATAGCCTGCTTCCATAGCTTAACATGGTTGACGGACGAAAGATTATCTCTAATGCTAGATTTCAACTTTGCAGCTTCTCTTTCCATCTGAATGATTCGCAACTGTTTTGCTTCAGCATGCTCCTTTTCGGTCTCTTTTTGGAACTTCAACGTCAACCGCCGGAATGCTGTGTTGTCCTGGCTTTCGTGCTCCAGTAACTTTCTTGCTTCCTCAAGAGTCTGCTTTGAGGCAAGTGATATTTGCAACTGTATATCCTTCGCGGCTTGGTCTACTTCATTTAGCGAAGATTTGAACTCGGACTTGAAGGGAACAAAGATGGCTGTTAATGTTTGTGTAATAGCAGTCCGCTGTGAGACTTCAATGATCTTGATGCACAGCTTCACAATGATGGCATAGTAATCGCATAACGCGCGTTGGAGCCCGACGCAGCCGGGATAGAGTTGACCAAATTTCTGATACGTCGGACACGACTTTCCGATTGCCATGATCATGCTGGTGACCTTGTCGAAGTAAGACGCGACATTGCTAGCCGTCAATATGGCCATCTTCACGCCTCCCCAAATTAGGGCGGCGAGTGTAGGATTGGAGCTAACAAATGTATCCACGACGCTGCTAAACTGTTATGTTGCCTCCAGAAAGGTGCACAAGCGTGGCGCGACACACCTCCTGTTCGTACTGTTGTTGTTGTTGGCATCGATGTCTGCAACGAAAGCAATGATGCTCGCAGCATCTGGTTTCGTAGTATTGGCGTGATACTGTCTCTTTTGCTCCTCCGTCAGGATATCTTCAAAACTCAGCAACGCTGCCTTAAGGGATATTGTCGGATCCGCAGCCCGAATATCCGTAAGATGGTCTTCCAAGAGCCATCACGGACTCTGCATCTGATCCGACGTCGAAGACGGAGTTTGGTAGATGGTGAGAAGAGATCTAAGCAGTGCAAAGGTTGAGGTGAATGAGGCTGATCACTTTCCCAGCCGAAGGAGAAGTGTCTAAGCCACACTGACGTGGCAGCATTTGGATGAACCTGAACAGAGACCACTCCAAAGTCAAATGAGGGCATTTAATTGTAGTTGCCTGATGGTACTAGACAAGTTGCAAAGCATTTTGATGAAAACCATTTATAACTGGAAATACTGTAACCCTTAAAGAAGCACCGTCTAGACATCATATTTTAATATAGCCATTAATCTGCCCTGTTCTTGAGGGTGGTACTCCAGTATACTTGGATTGAACCAGAACTCCTGCCCGGATACCGCTCCGAGAATAACCTTGTTACCTCCGACCAAGTTCGTTTCTCGTCCCTTCTCAGCTTCAGCAGAAGTTTCGCCTCTTCGGCTGACCATGGCATGCCCTTCCTCGAGCTCCCCTGGGCCTCATTGCAATCACGCTGAGTTCGTTTGCCCTCATGCGGGTGAGTCAATCGACTTGTTGATCGCACATTCCTGTCTGGAGGTAGTGCACCTTCAAACAGCCAAGAAAGGAACTGCAAATGTTCATCAAGCGGTAGAGACAGGAAATTGGAACAAAACGCGGTGAAGGAATTTTCCCTTGCAGGTGATGTAGTATAACCTCGAAGCCGTTTAGGAGACCGTCCTTCCGGGTGTCGTGCCTTTCGCTTGCGGTACCTAGACTGCCCACCGCTGTGGGAGCTATTGCTAGGATCATTGGTGCAAGACCTGGTGGTTTCAGTGTTGTGACAGGAGGGGTGTAATTGTTGATGATGCGTGATTTGAGAGTAGTCATTTATTTGAGGACTACTATCTTGACCCCTAAGCCGTTCGCTGGAGAGTTGGTGATGATCAGGCGCGTCATTCGCGTCACGGAGAATGGGTGGAGGTTCAGGATATGGACAAATTGTCCCTGGAATAAAAAGATTGTCGCCTTGTTGAGCAGGTTGGTGTAGGACTCTAGCCTCCCAGGGGCCATTGTCGCTGAGAATAACAGGGTTAATGGAATGTTGTCCTGTACATCTGCCAGACTGAATAGTTCTTTCAGACTATCATCTGAGCTAGATATACTGGGCGACAATGGGTCACCTGCTGCGGCGTCTCCCGGAAAGAAGGGAGGTTCAATCGGAATGTCGGGGATATCTTGGAAATCGCGGAGTGGAACTAGTTCCGAGCTTGCAGTTCGATGCTCTGGAGCATGTGGAGATGTAGTACCCGCCTTGAGGTCCTCTGAATGTGACGTATTGCTTGGTGGAATAGATAGCTTCCGCGGTTGAGATTTAGGGCTCAATGGTGTGCATGATTGGGTGTTTGTACTGTGATGCACGCAAACTTGCGCCGGTGGCCGCGCAGGGAGTCGATGCCTGGGAATTGACATAGTGTGTGCGAGGGAATCATGACGAGGCTTGGGGTGAAGGGGCTTATTGGCCATATGGGTATGTGAATTGAGGGATTTGTGCAGTGTAACTGATTTAGTGCTAGGGGGCGTCCACGGCTTGAAATTATCGATATGAAATGGAGGGAACATATTGCATGAACTGAATTCTTCAGGGGTATATTTCGGCAGGGAGGTGATTGGAGACGGGAACGGGAGCAGAAAGGGAGAAGGATCATGGAGTAGGTTGTGAGAAAACCGAGAATCTTCCACTTTTACAGGGATGATTGGCCTCCTTATACTTGCTTTCAGAGCGTCCACACCAAAATTTCGCCCTTCTCATCAGAGGTAACGAGGCGAAATCATCCTGTACTCAAATCTCACTCGAGGCTGCTGACGTGTCCATCCTTATCTGAAAGCGTTAATTGAAAGATGAAGTCCAGTACCCTGCACTAATTGTATCCAGTTATTTCAGCTCCGAGTCTCACATTATCAAACATACTATTGCTCTAATGTAACTGTCTGGCAGATCCGCAGACGTACACCAAAAGGAAAGATATGCGGTAATTTCGCTATTGGTTGGTAAACAAGGCGAGGACACGGAAGGAATTGAGCTCGGTGGGTCAAAGGATGGTCCTAGAAGGGAGGAAATGCAACCCCAGATTCCTAAGCCCAGCTGACACCCTGGCTTCAGGATGCAAGCCATCCTTGGTAGCTGAATGACGAGGAGGTTGGGACTTTTCTGCAAACAGAATCTCAGAGCTCTGCGGGGGAAGCGATCACAGAGTAGACGCAAGAGACCAGAGCAATGGAGTAGAAGTACCAAGCAAGGAAGGAAGGAAGGAAAAGGTGTTGGGATAGGAGATCAGAAATCAACCAGAGATACAACATAGTCAACAAATTCGCGCACAACGCGGCGAAGACCGTCAGAACTGCCCAGCGGCCCACATGTCACCATAGGCAAGAGAACAGCCTCAGGGGCGAAATAAATTGCTCAATAACCAATGAAGCGACGGTAATAAAATCTCAACCCATCAAATGACCTTCGGAGACCCCGTAGCTGAAGGCAGGCAAGAGGGGCGCAGACAGCGCCATACTGGAAAAGGGCAATCGTCGGATAACGCGGCATCCTCCTAGCGGGGCAGTGCATCGAGTGAGGGAGATGAGAAGGGGAAAACGGAAAGAAAAAGTGCGTCGTTGTTCGAGGGAGAGATGTCGGGCTTATATAGATGGAGTGGTTGCGTCGAGGCGGCAGGAGAAACTGGTAAAAGCAGCGAGAGTCAGCGCGATGCCCAAAGCAGTAAACACTATCCCGCAACGGGCAGTCAGACTGCCGCGGGCGGCAGGCGGTGGTGGGCGGCAGAGCGGCGGTTCAATGAGGGCCGTTTCTGGCGCCCCGCTAACCGTGTCATCGTATACTTAGTATAGATATCGAATTTTCATATAGTAGGGATATTGAATACTATATAGTAGGGATATCGAATACCTTAGTATCGATATCGAATACTATATACTAAGGATATGAATACTATAGTATTGATATTGAATACCATATACTAAGGATATCGAATACTATAGTATCGATATCGAATACCATATATTATAGGATATATATATCTTAAACATGCAGCACCTATGGTGGGTTCCCCCCTTTCTTTTTATAGATAGATAGATCAATACATTCTAACTATATGGTATTCGATGTCCTTAGTATATGGTATTCGATATCCTCAGTATATGGTATTCAATATCGATACTATGGTATTCGATATCCCTAGTATATGGTATTCGATATCCCTAGTATATGGTATTCGATATCCTTAGTATATGGTATTCGATATCCCTACTATAACTATGGTATTCGATATCCCTACTATATGAGAATTCGATATCCTTAGTATATGGTGTTCGATATTTCTATAATGTAGTTATAGGGAGAGGGAATATTAACTATCACTCTGTACTCTGTAGTATATATATATAACTAATCTTTAACTACTACTTATTTAACCCCCTAGATATTGAAGCAATACTCTAGACATAGATTAGGATAATAATAATTACCATATATATCATATAAAAATATTAATTTTCTTAAACATGCTGGATAGGCCCTAGGCATGTCATCTAGTAAGGTGGTGCGTGTGGCTATTCTAGCATGGTGTGGTGGGAGGTAACCATGGTAAAAAATTTATTTTGGCCGGTTTGTTGATTCAGTCCGCCGTACTTATCAGCATCCGGGCTGCTTTTTTCTAGCCCAATCTGCATTTCAATGATCCAGTCAGATTTTGGGGCACTGCCGCCTCTTCCTCGCCTGAATTCATAGTTTTATGATTCGCTGTTGCTTGGTGTTCTTGCAGATGGTGGCCGAAGTGGACTAGGCGCTGCACCTCAGCCCCCAAACTGTGCCAATCCCTGTTGGTCAGAAAATGATTCATCGCAGGTCTTCCTCCAGGTCAGAGTCCTCGGAATGTATCTTTAGGGATTATGGATTCATCCTCAGCACATATCGTCATGAGGTATTCTAACACACCCATGGTCCTGGAGAAGCAGAATGTGTCTTCCCCGCCGTCCCCGCCTGTTCCTGCTCGGCGGAACAAGGCTCGTCCCATTGCGCTGGCGTTGATGGGATTGGCCGGTTCTTTGTGGTTGATGTTGCCTGACAGAGCCCATCAGCCAGCAGCAGCGGCAGAGAAGAACGCACCACCGCCGGCATTCAGTTGGGACCAGGTACGACAGAAAGATCTATTTCCATCGGCTTCTGTCTAACTGCATACGCAGATCACACCTTCCAAGTCTCTGGAGTACCATGACTGCTTCGACGGCTTCCAGTGCGCTCGACTCGAGGTGCCCATGAACTATCATCGAGAGGACGGTCAAGGCCGCCAAATGGCTATTGCCATTGCACGCTTACCTGCGAAGGTCCCGGTGACGGACTCTCGATACGGTGGACCAGTTCTCATAAATCCCGGTATTCTCAATTTGCCCACTTCTATCCACATCAAACATTGACGAAGGCAGGGGGCCCAGGTGGTTCTGGAATCGGAGAGGCTCTATTGTCCGGTCGGGACATGCAGATGATTGTTGATGCAGAAACTGATCCTGCATTAACTACAAAAACTGCGAACTCGTCGGATCGATACTTCGATATCATCGGCTTTGATCCACGCGGTGTTAACAACACGACTCCGGGGTTCAGCTGCTTCCCTAATTCATTTTCGCAGAAGAACTGGGAGCTCCAGGCGGAGGCGGATGGCATGCTGGGTAGCTCTGACGATTCCCTCATGCGCAGTTGGCAACGTGCCCTTGCTCTTGGCGCCGCTTGTTCCGAGGCACTTCAATCCACGCCGAATGGAACTGATGAAGCTCTTGGGGATCATCTGAATACGCCGCCAGTCGCGAGGGATATGCTCGAAATTATCGAGCGACAGGGTCAATGGCGGGAGAAGCAAGGTCAGGCCGCTCAAAGGGAGCACGATCGCATGTTCGGGTATGACCATCAGCAGAGGATCGTGACCCGCACCCGGTGGAAGAGAGGACAAGAGAAGCTCCTGTACTGGGGCCGTTCATATGGAACTGTGCTCGGAAGCACCTTTGCGACCATGTTTCCTAATCGGATCGAGCGTGTTTTACTGGACGGCGTGGTTGATGTCGACAAGTACTACACCGGGGAAGGACCTGACTCTATTGTTGATGCCGACGCAATCTTTGACCGTTTTGCATTTTACTGCGACACGGCTGGGCTAGACGGATGCCCCTTCTATACGCACCGAGGCCCTACAGCCATCAAAGCCGCATATCTGGATCTAGAAACGGCACTATACAAGGCATCAATACCAGTAGCACCGTCAGCCACACGGGGACCCGAAGTCGTCACGTGGACCGATTTGAAAATCGTTCTTCGCATCTCCATGTATCAACCTCTATTGGTATTTCCTATCCTAGCGCACTATGCAAAGTCGCTAGCCGAGGGTGATGGATCCGCGATGGCCGACTTCAAACAGCGATTTCGCTCGCCCTCGTGTCCATCGGACCAATGTATGCAAACAGAGCCGTGGTCTCCCGAGTGTCAGGACGCGGAGGCGAACGAATTCTATGCCATGTCGGCAATATTCTGCTCCGATGCCCCATATCTACGTGACATAGACCAACAACGTTTCAAAGAATTATGGGCGTCCCAGAAAGCCCAGAGTTTTACCATGGGGGATTATTGGGCTACTATTGGATTGGGATGCGTTCAACACAAGTCGAGGCCGAAATGGCAGTTGACAGGTATGTTTGTCTCCCAATTCGGTAGGCTCCTCTCTCACTGAAAGTTCTTAGGGCCGTACACGGGCAATACATCTCATCCAATTCTTCTTGTGAGCAATACTCTGGATCCAGTTACTCCGTTGAGAAGGCAGGTCTTCAAATCTTTCTCCCCAATCCTAGCACGATGCTGACTATTAGTCACTTGCAGCGCGCAGAAGATGTCCAAGAGTTTTCCTGGCTCAGTCGTACTCGAACAAGATTCGGAAGGAGTAAGCATTATCCTTCTGACCATTCTATCACTTCACATTGTCGGAGAATGTCATCGATCTGGACTCTAACATCCAGTAGCACACCACCTTAGCCGCGCCATCGGTGTGCGTGAGCAAAGCTATTCGTGCCTATTTCCAGAGCGGCGTGTTGCCCGATCCCGGAACGCTCTGCAGTGCGGACTTGAAGCCCCTCTTGGGGGAGTCAGGGTCAGTTCAGGCAATGAACGCAGGAGATGGAGCCATATATGACGTGTTGATGAACAGGATTGCCCAAGCCGGTCAACTGAGTCAAAGACTGCCGTTCACTTAAAATCGCTTGCATGTCAGGAGAGAATACCGCTTTTTCCGAGATTGTATAACGCTGATGCTAGCAATGGCCTGTTGTTGTCTCCACTTTTATCCGGATTGAATTAAGTGCGGGGTACTTTTGCGCCCTGTTGTCATTGCCTGCTTACATAACCTCTTCTCTTGAACAGCTCTTTGCTGCCTAATAGAAACACACAACATTCCCTCAGTCTTTGGATTCAGAGAATCATCAAACACATCAATTAGAGCTGAGAACAGAAACAAAACTCAGTCAACATGTCTCAAAAATCTTATACAGGCACCTGCCTCTGCAACGCCGTCACCTACCGAATCGACCTCGCCGACTCCACTCCTCCCAAGGTCCTTATTCTCACCCTGCAGTCTCCAACCATTCACCAATCATCCACTGACTTGCAACTCGTCTCATAGGTTATTCTCTGCCATTGCGTTAGCTGCAAACGCTACACCGGCTCCGGCTTCTCCGCCAACATTGCCGTCCCCAAGACAAGCCTCCACTGGACCAAGGGCCAGCCGAAACTCTACGTCGATAAGAACCAGCACGGTGCAGAAGTTCCCCGGATGTTCTGCGGGGATTGCGGGACACCCTTCACGTCTGAGCCAAGTGGTCAGGATAAAGTCATTATTATCAAGTCTGGGACGTTGGATGATCCGCACAGGGATGAATGTGGGGAGTTGGCGATGGAGATCTGGTGTGATCGGAAGGATAAGTGGGTTGAGCAGATGAAGGATGAGAATGTAACGCGACTGGACAGATCTATGGGCTAGCGGACGGTTTTTATCTGTGGTGGTTGTGAGGGTAAATAGATGCATAGACCAGTAGATCCATTGAGATATATATTGTCACCTTGCGGTTTTCACGGTTTGAGCGCCTGGGAAGCGTGCTATCAACCTCATAGATTCGGTGGTACCAACACTGGTCCTCCCCGAAAGGTTGAAGAATCTACAGTTACCTGTAGGATCGAAGCTACTCATAGCCAGAATTGGAAACCGTTAGGCAGTCTTGTAATGATAACCATGGTCCGATGATTCGGTTGATGGGGTCTAAGCCTCGGGTGCTGATCGGCAATGCAGACGAACTTACCCCGCTTGCATCGGCAAATCTCCTCCACATAATCTGGGGTGATGTCACCTGCATACAAACCCTGTTTTCAATTTTCGCCGATAATTGACATTATACAGCATCGCCCTATATCCCAAATAAGTTTAAGGAAGACATATTGTTCGAAAATAGCACTCTCGAAATGGCCCCTCCAACCGCCACAGAAACCGTCTCCTCCAATGTCACGCTCCAATCCCCACAGTCTTCCCAGGCAGCCGGTGCGGAAAAGGCCAAGGTCAAGATGGCTCTGCCAAAGCAACCGGTATTCGAGGACAAGATGGAGGAGCGCGAGTACCTCAAGGGGCGTCTAGCGGCCGCGTTTCGGATTTTTGGGAAGTATGGATACGACGAGGGTATGACCATCATAGTTCCCGGAATGTAGTTCAACTGTTACTGACACTAGCAGGTGTGGCCGGCCATATCACGTTGCGTGATCCTGTCGAACCGGACACCTTCTGGGTCAATCCTTTTGGCGTAGCATTCTCGCTGATCAAGGCGTCTGATCTGATTCGAGTGAATCACGAAGGGCAAGTCATCGATGGAGGCGAGGTTCGCTTGCTCAACGCAGCGGCATACATGATCCATTCCGCAATCCACGCTGCTAGACCCGATGTCATGTGTGCTGCACACAGCCACAGCCTTCACGGCCGAGCCTTTTGCACGCTGGGACGACCACTGGATATTATTACCCAGGATTCGTGCGCATTCTACAATGTACGCTTGCCTTCAGGATCTATGTATATCAGCTGACGGTTGCAGGACCACATCGTCTACAAGCAATTTAATGGCGTTGTTCTCGCAGAGGAAGAAGGCAAGAACATTGCTCAAGCTCTCGGAAATAAGAAAGCTGCTTTGCTGCAGAACCACGGTCTTCTGACTGTTGGTCGAACGGTTGAAGAGACCGTCTTCTGGTTTGTCTCTCTGGAAAAGTGCTGCTATGCGCAGCTTTTGGCGGACGCTGCGGCTGCTGGACGGGGCGGACAGACTATCAAGATTGATGATGCGGATGCTGCATTTACTTACAAGACGGTTGGAACTCCAATGGCAGGGTGGTTCAGCGCGAAGCCCATGTTCGATGTGATCCATCAGGAGACGAACGGGGACTATTTGAAGTAGACGGGATATCTCATTCAAAGGGTAATTTTTTCCGATTCGGGAGAAGGTCTGAGGCTACTCGCAATGGCAGGGGCGGGATTCTCTGTTATGGACATCAGTATTGATCCTGTAAACTATGCACACTCAGTCGCAATGTGCTACATGCAATCCGTATGACAGTAATGAACATACTCCTGACCCAAGACCTATTTGATGCACCGTTTAGCGATAGCTTCCAGATGCTCTTCGTCGGTACCACAACACCCCCCAATGACCTTGACGTTGGGAACCAACGGCAACACGCCCTCGAACCCATCAGTAAATACAGAAATATCCCCTCGATCAAGGGTATCACTATTGTCCAGCTCATCATGACTCTTCAGACTGGCATTCCCCTTGATCAATCCAATCCTCCTCCGCACGTCCTCCGGCAAGTCACGCAACGCCGCACAAATCCGCACCGGATGCGCACAGTTAACACCATAGTACACCACATAACCCCCCGTCTTCCCATCAAGCGTCTGAATAGCGCTCTCCAAGCTCCTCCCACCAAGCAACCGCCCATCAGACTCAATACTAAACGACACAACAACCGGCAACCGCACCTCCCTCGCCAACTCCACCACCGCAATCGCCTCATTCAAATTCGTCACCGTCATAATGGACAGTAAATCGACCCCGGCATCCGCAAGCACGCCCACCTGCTCCCTGTACCCCTCCCGCGCATCCTCCAGCGTGATGGACGCACTCGTATCCTCATACGCGTCTCGCAGGGGTCCCATCGCCCCGCTAATCACGATGGGGATATTGTTCTCCCCGCCCATGGCGTTATTCCTAGCTTCCTTGGCTAGCCGTACCGCAGCGCGATTAAGCTCGAGGAGTTTGTCGGTGGATAGACCCAGGGGTTTTGCCCAGGGTGTGGCGCCGCGCCAGGTGCGGGTGTCCAGGACGATCCCTGTGCCGTTGATGGCAGCGATGGAAATGTATGAGTTGTAGTAATGGGAGATGAGTTTGCGGCCTGAGTCGGTGTCGACTAGAGGCAGGGAGGAGAAGCATGGGAGGTGGATTTTGTCTTTGTAGACGAGGGTTGTTTCCATGCCGCATTCTGTGAGGAAGGGTTTGGGGGAGACGAGTTGTGGAAGAGTCATTTTGAGTTATATTGATAGGATAGGGTTGGTTTGGCAGATAGAGATTAGAGCAGGGATGTGGATGCTTCAATGAAGAGGATGTGGTGTGATTGTGGTTGGAATAGAGTCATTAGTCTCTTGCGGATATTGATATCGATAATCGATGGATCCCCACATAAGTGGGGATAGTCGGCGTTTGCCGAAGTAGAGCCCAAAACCACAACAAGACCTCGTCTGCCAGGGTGCCTAATACAGTCTAAGCATCGGCTGTCATAGGCATCTAGTGCTGTTCCTTCAACTAAGGTATACAACGGGGGGAATTTTCTTCATTCTTATTTTCCTGAGAAGCTGATTTGTCACAAACTGACTGAACCTTGGGTAGGGAACTAAAGGACCTAGGTAGGTACTAGGTAGTGCTCAAACTTACCTTAGGCACTTATCTCATCACTCCTCCCAAGTGCACCCTTTTCCCATTTTTCCATTTTTCCCAAAGGACACTTTGACGTTCTGTTTTCTTCAAAGAGAACCATCGCCCGACTCGGTATCACGATGTCTGATCAACATTCAAAATTCTCACTGAGGAAGCCGCTCAGACAACTAGGACGTCTATCGCTCCGGTTTCGAACCGGACGTAATCGCCAAGATGAACGCATGAAGGACCCTGAGGGGCCTTTGTCTCCTCAATTCTTCCTCCAGAGGCCGCCTGAGCGAGAAAATGTGCAGATGTTACTTAAAGAGTGGGAATTCAAGGAACGCCGTAATAAGCTGATCGAACACCTTGACAGCATTTATGCGAAGGCTTATGAATGGGGCAAACCCTTCTTTATCAAACAACTTATGACAAGTTGAAGATTCGCTGTGAATCTTTGGACCTCAATGACGACGGGGAGTATGACAATGGAATCGCCATTCCGACCTTTTTTGACCCATTTCCTCTTGAGAACCTCAAAAAGCATCAGATTATCACGCCAGATAACACAGCCAGAAGGGACTATGAGTCCCATGAAAATATATTCGATCGTCCTGAGGAGGGATTCGAGGGGTTCAAGTCGCAGGCGGTGTCCTACCGTCTTATGCGGCACTTTGACTGGTTTCGCAGGAACGGGATCGCTGATGGCTCAGGAAGATTGATTGACATCACAGTATGGAAAAATGAGTACGTGCCTCGCTTTGTCTCGGGTATCAGGAATGTTCTGCTGATGTGTCTCATTTCTCGCAGCGCATACTCTAAGTTTATACAGGAATTCTTCGAGCCCGGCGTCTGCTTTCAGCGCGGTCACTCGCCCTCGCCCTCGGGTTGGTGGACGGCAAAATCCACCTCTCTTCCTCATCTTATGTGTATTCTTGAATTCAAATTCAAAGGTACTGAGGAACTCCTCAGGGGTGAAATCCTTATGATCCTTGCCACAACGATCACTCGTCTTGAACTAGAGGGTTATCAGGGTGAGGTAGTCATACCGGTAAGTGCAATTTGATTCAGCGCAATTCTGTTCGAAGAGCATCAGTCGCTGATTTGTGCTTTCTTTTGTCCCAGGTTCTCATGTTTTCAGTCATGTCCGACTTCAAAGCAAGGATAATACAAGCATATTTTGATGGGGACAAACTGGTGATTCGCAAGTCAAGGCTGTACGACTTCTCTACACGTGAGACCTTGAGCTCCTCAACAGCTCTCTTCATGCAGTGGATCAGTAGGTGACACTCGTGGCTTTGCTTTGCAGGACTTTGTGCCATTTGGGGAGGATGATAATACCAAATCAGGTATCAAGGAGGAGGCTGAAACAGAAAATACTACTGATGCTCCTTGAACCTCTTCTTTCTGATTGTTCGAGGATTTGCTCACTGTACGTTTTTGGGTAAAGAAAGGGTGTCCGACATGGCTTCTGATCTTATGGCTTTTCAATGATTGTGTGGGTTCTCATCTGTCTTTACAAAATGGCTATCTACGATTGATTCTTATGCAACAGGCCTATGCATCTGTAACTTTCTAAAATATCTTCTTACTACATATAATGCTCAGGAATCCAGTACGCTCCACCTACGTTAAATAGATGAACAGCGATACAAATCTACAATAAGTAATGAAAACCGAAGCTAGAAGATGAGCCGCGTCCGTGCTGGGAATAAGCCATGAACGGCCAACAATGTCAAAGCTCTGGCTATTGTACCACACAAGAAGTTCTCTTCAATACTACAGGTAAAAAGGTATAATATATCAGTGTGCTGTGAGAGACCTGTCGCGAATATGATTACTAGGCTAAAATTAGTATTTAGACGGTCGTTCTTTGCTAGTAGTAAGAGTCGGGCATGTATGCCTCGTTTCCATAGTTTAAGAGAATAGTATCCTTGCTTTGATGTTGTATGACTGGGAACTTGAGCACCTAGAAATTGAAAGGAAAGCGGCTCAGCAACTGGCGCTGTTGGAGGTAGGAGCAGATTGAAGAAAACTGTACTAACAGGAATGGCTACACCATGCCGATAATCCTCCAGCTCGAGACGTGGGATCATTGTAGCCTGGATCGCAAGGATTGCCCCTCTTCAAAGTTCGCAGTTGCCAGAACTACGGAGCTATGGATGTTTCAGATGGATATTGCTGGACTATATGCCTGCTTAGCCATTCAACGAGCTGCTTGCATTTTCGCTCCTTATCAGTGACGACAGCTTCAACCCAGCGCATCAACGGTTGGGAATCCTGCCCAGCTAAGATACAGCTTCTGCTATATACAACAGTGATCGCTATATTGACATCACTGAAGATGTTGGCCTCCTCATCCGCTTGATGTCTGCCATCTCCATCCTCATTCCCGATCACATACGTCTATCCACTATCCCCTCGGCTCCGTGGCCGAAGCCCCATCCCCCTGTTGCCAGATAACCTTGCTCGAGTCTCCCTCCACCGTAGGATCAACCTGAATGATCTCCGTGACATCCGCATTCCTCGTCAGTGCCGGATACTCCCAGCCACCCCAGGCCAAAGTCGTCGGCATACTGGTCCCGTCATTCTCCTGCTTCGTAAAGAAATAGACCGTGCCCGACGAAGCCGTCGCAAAGGCCTGAGAGAGCCGTTTCTGGAACTGATCCATCTTGGAATAAGACACCTGCGCCAAAGCAGACGCTTGAGCGAGGTACCAGTCATTGTCGACGATGTTGTCGAAAGCCACCGCCCCGCGTCCGTCGGGGACATTGGAGCAATACCATTGCTTGGCGAGTGGGATTGCGTTGCCGCTCTCGGATTGCGGCGGCATGGCTGGTGGAGGTCCATGCCAGTAGGAGGGAGAGGAGGAGTAAGAGAAAAGATAGAGGTGATTTCATGACAGGCTGGTGTCAACAGGAATATAGTGAGTAAATAGAACGTAGGCCGGGGGAGTCTTTGAAGAACACTTGGAAGAGCAAAAAAAAGCAGCCATCACACGAATATAAAAATAAGAACAGCTGGGTGCAGGGGAATACACTAAAAATCATATACAGACTAGGATACTAGCAGTCAATACCCCCACTCAGTAGTAGTTGTTAATTTTCCTTTCCACCTAGACACATGTCCAAAATTTCCTCATCCGTAGCCTCCACAGCCCAATCAATCGCAGTCTTCCCCTCTGAGTCCTCCGCCAGAGGATCCGCATGAAATCTCTGCATCAACACTCTCACCATAGCCCGGTCCCTCCGTCGAATAGCCAGATGAAGCACAGGCCCCGGAGTGAGTCCCCTCTCCCGGACTGCCGGCTGAACAGCATTAATATCGGCCGCTTTCCTCTTCTCCACCAAGAGGGCGAGCATATCAACACGATGATTGCGCACGGCAGCAAAAAGCGCATCGGTGCCTTCCACGACTGCTCCGTGATCCAATAGCAGCCCCATCATCGCACACGATGCGCTCCCCGCCGCTGCCACTACTGCGGGCTGATAGTTGACCTGGCAATCCGCAGAGTCCACACCGTCGGCTAGAAGAAACGAGGCCAGCCGGAGATTGTTTCCCAGAATGGCCCATGCTAGCGGGGGACCCATGTGGCCTAGGTGCACAGTTCGAAGCGACGGATCGTGCCGGCAGAGCAGCTCAAACGCTGGCACTCGTTCGGGGCTGAGCGTCTCAAGGATAACTGCTCGGTCCAGCATTGCTAGTGGGCTCTTCTGACCGCTTGTTTGTTTTTTTTCGTCACGTGGAAACAGTCGAGGAAGGAGATATTGGAGCACGCCTAGCTGCATGGTCTGGATTGCGGTTTGGAGGAGGATGGCTGTGGGGGGTAGTTGGTGCTGCTGTAGGGCGGTTTCAATGGCAGGGATTAATTGACTGAGATTTCCCTCCGTGATGAAGGATATGATTTTGTCCTGCATATTATTGTCCATGATGCAGACAAACTGCGGATTTCGGGTGGCTGTTTGAATATTGTCCTGGCGAAGAAAGCTGTATGGGAAGGGACCTCGGGAGGTGCTGAGGCTAGAAGAAAAGAGAGGCGTTCAGGACTTCAGGCAAATCATGCGGTATTTTCAGGATTAGTCGATGAACTACTTTTGACCCACATTGGGCCGTGATGTGTGTCCTTCCTGAATGGGTTTGTATAAAATCTGTACTCCAGATTGGCATCCAAAATGGCCCTTTTTAACTTCAGATATCTCAACCATTTTTGTATAATTACAGTTCGTACTGGGATGTAAATTATTTATAGCCATTCCAGTATGAATTCCAAGTATCTCATAAAAATAAAAATATGCGGGTGTTGAATATATACAGCAGGATTCACATATGTTAGCACAAGGAATCCGGAAATTTCGGATGGGCCAGGGCCCAGGAGGGCAAGTCTTTCTTAGGGGTGGAACCTGCCCACAATACAGTGCTGCTGTACGTGATATTATGACTGAAAACTGTCTCTTGGATCCATGCTATCAATCAAAGCAAGAAGCATTATTATGAGGTTTGAAGCATAGGCTTTGGAAGGCCGTACCTCACTCCAAAAGCATTGAGCCTCCCTCTGCTGATAGCCCATGCACAGAGGGTTGCTGCTCCTCAGTATCAAATGTCTGTGGTTACGGGCCTTCATACTGTGGCGATTCGTGTATAGCAGCTGCCAGCACGAACGGACCATGTGCCCAGCTCTCCGAATGTGATCCAGGGGTTTATCCCGGGTATGGAACGGTATGGGGTATGTCTATATATCTAGGGTGGTAGGTAAAGGAAGGGCTGCTTACAGCGAACTATAGGATCCGAATATGCCTCGACTGAGACGTGTCCCCTGAATGTCTGCTGCAGTGAATATGGTTTCTGTATGGATTACCCCACCTGTTGAATCAATGAATGCACCGTGGATTGTGTCTGCTGACTTCTCCCAGGTGGAACGAGCAGTGACTTCTGTGGAAGCACAACCTGGGAAGAGCCCTCGTGCTCTGGAGGGTCTTCTTCGACTGGCCGTGCCATTGGATATTACGAAGGATGGAACCTTTATACTTTTTCCTGTCTGCGTATGTCTTTCCAAATCGCGGTCAAGTCACTGTATCCCACATCATACTGACAGCGTCTGCAGAGATGACCCCAGAACAGGTCGGAACGCACATCACATGTTCAAGAATAAATTATCCTACTAACCTCGCATCCATAGATCCCCGTTGGAGCTTACACGCATTTGAACTTTGCTTTTCTCTATATCGACCCTGACACATTCGAAGTCACGCCGATGGACTCCGCTCAGGTCGATCTGTATAGCCGCTTCACGGCTCTGAAAGACTCCTCACCAGGCTTGGAAACATGGATCTCAGTAGGAGGATGGGCAATGAATGACCCAGGCTCTACCCAAACAACCTTTTCGGAACTGGCGGCGTCCAGCAGTGCTCAAACAGCGTTCATCAATTCGTTGAAATCATTCATGGTAGAGTACGGTTTTGACGGCATGGATATTGACTGGTACGTATTGTATTTGTATCTCATGGCAATGCTATCCCTCTCAAATGCTAAGCACTACGGCGTCATAGGGAATACCCCGGTGCCTCCGACCGTGGCGGAAACTCAGCAGACTACGACAACTTTGTGACGCTTCTCCAGAATATCCGCAGTGGACTGGGAGATGATTACGGCTTATCCATTACCCTGCCTACTAGCTACTGGTACATGCAGCACTTTGATATCGTCAATATTGCCAAGACGATCGATTGGGTAGACATAGACATAAAACTGTTTCCTAATACAATATATGGCTAACGTTACTGCAGTTCAATATGATGACCTATGATATCTATGGAACATGGGATGCCACAGTCGATGATATCGGAGCTTATGTGTACGCCCATACGAATCTTACCATGATCCGGAAGGGCCTGGACCTGCTGTGGCATAATGATATTGACCCTAACATGGTCAATATTGGCTACGGGTTTTATGGGTGCAGTGCGTGTTTCCCCATCCCAAAGCAATCCTTGATAGTATTATGAGACTGAACCTTACACCCAGGTTACACACTCAGCGACCCAGCATGCTCAGATACAGGCTGTCCTTTCAGTTGGGGGGGGTATGTCAATTAATACAGACTGCTGGTGCCCCCTATATTATAACTAGCTAACTCTTGTCTATGATGAAGGAAATTCTGGCCCCTGCACAAATACCGAAGGAATCCTCTCTTACTCCGAGATCAAGGAGATTATCGCAGATTCCAGTCGCAGCGCCACAGTGACTCTTGACTCCGAAACAGCTGTTATGATTGCCGTCTTCGATGACAATCAGTGGGTCGGTTATGACGATGAGGAGACTCTTCTCATGAAGCAGGAATTTGCCGATTCGGTGTGTATTGGCGGGTAGGGCTTTTCTACCTATCCTGGACACAAGACAATTGGACTGACTCGCCGGCCTCGCCATAAGGTTTCTCACCTGGGCTATTGATCAGGATAACACAGGAGCCTTGTCTGGTAAGATGTGATCTAATCTCCGGTCACCTGGAAGCAAACCCGAGGTAGAAGCTAAACTACTTACAGGCGGGGTATCAAACGTCTCCGATCTATACCCACAAACGAACGGCACCAGTATAGGCGGCGAGATCTACATCGGACCCAGTCTCTGGACCAACGATACCCAGGAAGTTGCATGTGTCCCTCCTTGCACCTTTATCCTGCCTCCTTATCCACTCTCAACCACATCAGTTGTCACCTGGCCCGCGTTCACCACTTCAGTGCTGGTGAGTCAAGAGGATGGGACGATCATCAGCAAGGAAACAGTGATCTCTATCGATCCGTTCACTATAACCGAGGTGCCCTTCTGGGCAGTCACTGCGGTTGAAACAAACACTGTCCCTGCCACTATTGAACCGGAACAGAGCGTCATGCCGCCACGAATGACGTTTGTCCTGCCTGGCACCGAGAATCTATTCCCAGTTACGCAGGCCGCATCCACCACCGCGGCTACGCCTACGTCTACAATCGCAGGCTCAACCTCTGTTTCCATTTCTACACCGGCTGCTGTGCAAACAGGCATTACATCGGACTGTACAGAATTCTACCAAGCAGCCAGCGGTGATAGTTGTTGGTCTATTTCCCAAGAGTATGATATCTCGCTGGACGACTTTTAGGATTGGAATCCGGCTGTGGGCGATGACTGTAGCGGGTTATGGCTTGATGAATATTACTGTAAGTCAGCTAAGGATACCTACCGAACTCATCAGATCTGATCAGCAGAGCTAAGTATCCCTCCCAGGCGTTGCAATTTCATCATCTGGTACAACCTCGAACTCAATCTCCCTGGGCGTGACCCCAGCCTTCTACTCTACCTCGCACAGCGTCATCATTCAGCCGCAACCCACAGTGTCTGTGATTCTCCCCCCTAGTCTCGTGCCCCCTGTGAGCTACTCCACCGGCACTCCGCCCAGCAGCGGGGGTTGCGGCTCAGACAGTAGCAGTTCTGGCTGCGGAAGTTTGGATTGTATTTTGTTCGGATGCAATGGCGAATGCGGCATCTTCGCTTGTGATGGCGGTTGCGGGATTGGATTCTGCGGGGGTGGTTGTGGATTGGAAGGGTGTGGTCCGGGATGTAGTGAAGGTAAGCTATTCCGCCCTTGAATCCATGTATTCTCTTCTACATGGTAGTGCTACGGACTAACAGATGGGTAAAAAGGCTCCTGTGACCATGAAGGTGGAGGCGGAGGAACAGGGAGTGAAAGTGACCCTGACGAGGATGATGATGACGATGACTCCTGCACCTCCAGCCAAACCGCGGATATCTGCACGGTGTACGTGAGCAGTTCATCAGTTACCACTGAGTCTTCTTGGACTACGACCACTACTGTAAAGTACTGCTAACCTAGCAGAAGCAAGTGAAGACTCCCGGCTTGCTGGTACTTACACAGACGCTCTGCTACACCACCGCCGGATGCTCGGTTGAAGCATCGACCACAACCACCACTCTTTCCACTACAGCTGCAGCATGTGCTCTTCCCACCATAGCATCCAACTTCCCCTTTGCGTTTGGCACGGACGGTCCCATTCTCACCTCCATTACGAGGTCTCTTTCCGAGTCCATCATCATGACTACTGATGCGCCTACGTCAAGCACCGAAACTAAGACTGACGATAGCGGCTCATCCAGCACCAAGGGCGACGATAGCGGCTCGTCCGCCACCAGCACGAGCACCTCCACATCCACCTCCAACCCCTCACTACCCAGCAACTACTACGAACTGAATCTGTACTCCGATGATTCCTGCGGTGATTTCGTTATCAGCGCTGAAGGCAGTTCCGACAACGAGTACTCACTGGGCTGCCAGCCCTGTGATGAGGAGGGGGTATACAACGGCGTAATTCCCGTGTTCGACGACTCCCTCTTTTCCATCACCGTGTACAAAGGAAGCAACTGTGACTCGGACGATTCGGTTGAATTGAAGACGTCCGGGACGTGTTACGATGTTAGTTTTGCAGACAGTGAGGGGTCTTTCAAGATTGAACTAGCGTGAGCCTAGGTATCTGGGAGGCTTGAACCTGGACACATGGGACGGACGATGTATAAGAGAGTACGCATATAGCATGGCTAACCAAAATAAATACCTTCATACCTTCATTGGAAAACCAAAGCAACAAGAAAACCTGGGTATTTTCGTCAATAGACCTGTTTTCCTATCAAACACCCCTACTAACAGAGATAGATAGCAGCCTTTGCTCCAAATAGTTAATAATAGTTTAAGTTAGGGTGATCACCTTGCATTTGGTCCTCTCTCTAACTTATATTATGAAGTCTGTGAATAACTAACATAGCATTCTTACACCATCTGTAGCTAGGGCAAGAAGATCATGAGGTAGCAATCTGCGCGATGAGATGGGGCTTGAAACTTCTGCACTTTGGGAAAAGAGAAAGGCAACTTCTATTAGATGAAGGGTGATTATTAGTGCTCAGCACGGTAGATTAGTAACAGCTAGAGAGCTGAACACTTTGCAGGGTGAGATTACCTAAAGAAAGGACGATATTTCTTTCCATCCTAGCGCTGAGTGATTGGAACTCACCCAGATCACTACCCTCATATTTATGCTTGTGCGATCTGCATATTTACCTCTGCTAGTACACATACCCTTATATCCTGTATATGAAGCTACCTTGCCGGGAAATATAAGTATTATATCTAACTATATAAAAATGGTTATAGCTAGAAAAAATGGGCGGAGGAGTTTGCCCAGTTCGCCCCGAGCTTTTACCCGGTATGGTGGAACCCCAGTGCCAGACGATATGCTCCTCCTATGCCGTAATATAAGACAAGGAATTACAGCTTCGAAATCAGGCTCTTAAGACTCTCCCCGCCCTTAATAATCTCATCTTCTCAGATGATTATATTGATGTAGGTGATACATATTACACTCGGCCTAGACCTCGCAATGACCTTCTTGAGGGTCCAAGGTTTGGGTCCTTAAGCCCATGCGTGAGAGATCGGCTTGATCGGCAGACCTGAATAAGTTTTATCTGGTTTTGACTTTTGATATTTACCAAATTTTGATATTTAGAGAATTCTTTGAAAGAATTATCTACAGGAATTCTTACTTAAAAAGATTTATATAGCCAAGAAGATAATCCGAAGATTATCTGCAGGATCCTCTCTGAAAATAGGAATCTAAAATAGATCTGATCTGTAGATAGAAGACTTGGGGCTCTTCAGTCTTCACTCAAAAATAAGGGTTGAGGGTCAGTGGGTCGCCCACAGGCCAGGTCAAGGTCTATGCATGGCTCCGGGACTCCGGGAGGCTCGGCAAGCCTTTACCCCCGGGATTACGGGGAAAGCGGCCCCAGGCTACTACATACATGATACAGTGGGTGTGACAATTCTGATTCAAGCATTTTCCACATCGCCAGTATCTGATTGCAGACAAACCCACTGCAGTCTGGAACTTAGTATCTGCAAAATTTGAGCATCTATTACATATTCTTATATCATACACCAGAACAGAGTGGTTTACGACGCCCGACAAGCCAGAACCATTTGGAGATCAGAAGCTTAGTTGATTTATAAAAGCCTGACCTCACACCGTGGTAATCCCTCCTCAATATGATATGTATTCAAACAGGAATAGAAGCACCAAGTAGCTCTGGTTACAGCAAGATTTAACTATAATCACTGTATTCCAGCAGTTATAGCAGCATATAAAAAGCCACTATACTCAAAGAATGGCCCTACCTTACCCTATTATTCCTGTTTATTATCCTGTGTATCATATTTTATGGTACCTTTCACTATAATCAAAGCCAAAACAATGCATCTTATATATGTCACGGCCATCCTGGAGTTCTTTCTTATAGTTGTGTCTGCTGGTGGAGCCTCCAATCCTACTAATGTGTGCGACTTTTACAAAGACTGCCTGGCAAACAATTCAGTTAGTAATCATTGCAAAATGGTCAGCAAGATGGTAAATGGTGAGTGTCTCTCCCTCTTATTTCAAAGCGGACCGGGGCGTATGTGGCTTACTCCAACGAGGGGTGCAGATGGGAAAAGCTGTCAAATTGAGAATACAGCCATTGAAAAGCCAGGCCCATCATGCAAATGGTTGAAATATCAGTTTGGGAATGAGAAACTTAATCCTGGAATGGGGGCTACTGGATCACCGCATCCTAACACGGGATATGACTCTCGAAGAAGAGACAAGATCGACTATCGCTATCCGATGGACACCTGGCTTACAGCTGCTAAAGCAGGCATGCTAGATGTTGCCATTAATGGAACCAGGGTTGATGAGCATGACGGAAGAAACTTTTTTATTCCAGCTGGTAAGAGCGCCTAGTTGAACTTTTTACAAATGGCGGCCGATGCAATTAACGACTTTCTAGGTACATTGGCAAGCAATGTCCGTGTCGTCAATAAGGGGGCAGCTAGAGCCCAATATGCATTCTACGGAGCTTGTGGGAATTACACACCTTGTGTGGGAAGGCAATTGCAGGATTGGAAAAACCAAAACACCCACGGTGGTTGGAAGCTTGGAGTGACTGCAGAAATCCCCGTTGCATATTAGACTCAAGATCGTGACATCCTGCTCACTATTGCCGATAATTGGAGCCCTGCTGAAGTATTTGAAGTCTTTGCTGATTATCAGCTAATTGGGAAGACCCACGGACCTTTGACTTTGCCAGAAGCCGAAATGTCTAGTAAGGAACACTTGCTTGGTCTGAAAAAGCTGGCAGTCGGAATTGATGCTGCATCACCTTTTGTGAGCATCTCTCATGGAGGATTCTGGGGAACTTTCAGGATTCCATCAGGTAGGTAGTTCTAATAATCGCCTGTTAACACCTAAAGAGAGTTAAAAATATTGACATCCATAGGCACCAACGTTGTCACTGTGAGATTAGTTGACGCAATTGGGTTGGATTGGGGTTGGTGGTACGCGTATTTTGCATATCGTCTTGATGAACCATGCTCAAGTTAAATGGGAAGATTTGTTACCCCAACAAGGCTGTTCTATATACATACTGTGTGTTTAGTGATGACTATCAGAGTATATTGTAGTTGAATGTGCCTAGTTATTTGTCTAGTAATTATTAATCTACATCAAAGCAAAGAACGCCTAATTCTTGAGCAACGAAATCTTGGGTCCTTGGATCTTCCATGGCAGAGTCAAACTGCTCTTAAGGAGACAGCGGGTTCAATTACGAATAGATGAATCAGCAACATGAAGCTAGGGTCAGCAGGCGGTGCCATTAACTTGCCCCAATAAACGAACGCGCCTTGGAGACAAAAAAGTCCTTCCCCTTGATCGACTTGACCATGAAGCTCCAAGCCGTTATACCAAACAGCTGCCCCGTTCCACCCGACGCCCCGACGGTGACGATCATCATAACGCTATCTCCTTGATCATACATCCGTCTCTTGTATTTTGAGCTCTGACCAAGGATGTCATGCTTGATGTTTGCAGCAACAACCGCAGCCTGCTCAGTAGCCTTGAAGGAGAGGCGCATCGAATTGTTGGTTATATCGCCCGCCGCATAGACGGGTAAGAATGCATTATCTCCGCCCTGTACGCGAAGCTCACGGTCCACTTTCACCCAGCCGTCAGTGTCCAGCCACTGCTGAGGGATGAAGCTGTTGTTGGGCAGGACGCCCGTGGTGGGAATGTACAGATCAGCGGTGAGCTGGTCTCCGTTACTGAGAGATACATTCCACGTCCCGTTGGTGGACAGAACCGCATCGGTGACTTTGCGCGACGAGATGATCTTCACCTTCTTCTGCGTGAGCAGGCTTTCCGCAGCTTTACTGGCCGACTTCTTAAGCATCGGTAGGACGCGGTCCGAGGCAGAGACGAGAGTAATTTTCACTGATTTTCCTTGTTCTTGCGCGGCTTCGGCGAGTTCGCCGGCGAGTTCGACGCCGATGGGACCGGCACCGCCAATGACAATGTGCGAGGCTGATGAGATAGCCTGCTGCGCATTCTTGATGAGTGTCGCCATGTCATCGAGGTTGGATTGCTTGAAGGGAATCGGGATGTCGTTGCGGGTCGTTGAAGCTGTGGTACTCCCCGAGGCAATGACCAGGTAGTCGAATGGGATGGTCGTTTGACTGTCGACCACGACAACAAGTGTCGGGATTGATAGCCGTTACGCGTCCTTGAACGAATTCGAATGATTCCAAGGGATATTGTCTAAATGCCGAATCAATTGGGATCAAGTATTGTTCTGGCCGAAAGGCTGTGGGTTTGGCCATGATCCGGGGGCCGGCAATGGGGTAGTAGAACGTTGGAGAGGGATTGATCAAAATAACCTTGACCGTTTTGACATCTTTGAGGAGAGAATGGGCAATTGGAGCCCCGGCAAAGGAGGCACCAATGATCACGACGGTTGTTTTGGTTTGGGTCATAGCGGTCAAGTCTTGTCTTTGATATTCTCGATGGTTCGCTGCTTGCAGGTCGGAGATCCAACCGAGTATTTATCCCCATATCTCATGGAGAACGCTGCAGGGTGTTGCGTACGTTGGTCACACAGGATGTTCGTCAGGGAGTTTGCCGGACCCCATTGTCCAATTACCAATCCTTAGAAATCGAATATGATTGTCTTATCATTCAGGGCTGTCCTAACCTTATTCCGCAAGGACCAAATCTTAATTTCAATTTATTCAGGGGTTCACCTGGGTGCTGACACGATGATTTGAAATTAATTCACACAGTCAGTTTTTCAGCTTTTGAAACTGGAAGATAATATATCTTATTGTGCCAGAAGAGCAGAAGAAGTTTTCAGTCACTCTAGTAAGTATTCATTTAACGTAATCCACAAGCGAGCGGGCCACCCAAGCGAGCGGGCCACCTCCCACATCTTTTCGGTCGCGGATGAAACATGAAGGCAATTTACAACTCATGTATCTATGCTCATAGCAAAAAAATTAATTCCTTTTACGACTGGGACACTGTGTCCTTC